CGGGTGGGTTGAACGAAACCATCTTTTGTTGGGTCTGGCTCCTTGACTATTAAAGCAGTACATAGTATACCACCTGATTACATTTTAAAACTTGTTAGTTTAAAATAAATTCTTACTATATACGAACTGAGGTCTAATCGGAATCTTGTAGCGATAGCCCCAAGTTCTCCACACAAGGAGCAAGGGCTTTCTCCTCTACCGTCCCGTACCTTTGGAATAGTTTACCTAGTGACATCAATGGCCTGGGCTCTATATTTAATTGAAATCTAAAAAAAGTTTAGTTTTCAGCCGAGCTTTTAGTTTGTTACTCTTGTTATTTAGTGTTTTTGTCTTCCTGAGAGAATTATTAGGTTTGTTGCTATTTTCTTCTAACATTTTATTAATTTTAGTTAGCTGTCATTATCAACGTCAATTTTATTTTCTGTGAAGCGCATTTGATCATACGTGTATGTAATTTACGCCATATAAATTCTAATTTTAATTGATAATAATTAAAGATAACTGAGAGAAAGATTTCAGCTGTAAATGCGATCCAAAAATGTTCATGCAAGGGTGAGTGAGAAAGAAATTTGCATATCGAGTCCTCGACATACCTTAATGGAACTACGTAATCAAATGAGGTAAAAGCCAGCCTAAGGCTGTGTAAACACAAATTATGCACATCCGCATCGAAACTCTAATGACGCTCTAGCACCAATACCTAAGAGGTGCAGTTCTTAACTTTTTTGGTTATCTACTCGAAGATCCATGTTCAACAGTTACTCAATCAACTATTGTCACTTAAAAGAGAGGCTATGGTATTATTTGAATGGAATTTGAAATGAATCGGTCAATGAGACAGAAGAAATGAACAACGAACTAAGAGATCCACTTGATAGAGTGAGCAATTCGCTTCGCCGAGCGGTGAGTATCAACAAAAGTAAAGAGACAGATCTAAGAACCACCATGAAATCGATACAACAGGAACGACGGAGAAGTTTTAATTCTTGGTCTCTACGGCAAGAGAAGTTTCTTCGAGCCAAACAGAACCTTGTACCATCAATATTGTCTGATCAGCCTTCTCAGCTGGAAAGCTTCCCAAATTCCGACGCTTACCAACAGATTAAAACAAGGAAACGACGGATCACGTTTGTCAAAGCTGTGGCACCAGTAACTTTGAGTGGAGATAACGGCAAAAGCAGAACTCTCAGCGAACAAACCACACCGAAGGTGCCAAATATAGTGGTGGATCGAAATATTGATGGAAAAAAAAGAAAGAAATCTAAAGCACAAGTTCTGCCACAGGTGATTACATTAGCAAACAGTAGTAGGTTCTTTCAAGAACACAACAAACCGCGGCGAATCAGTAGAGATCACAGGCATGTATTCAGCAGTAATTTAAATGAAAATAACTATGATAGCACCAAGAATCCAGTTAAAGAGGGGGTCAGAGCTAGAAAAGTGAGCACCGTCTCCTCTCCGTTACAAAGGAAACAACAGAGCACTTCGTCGATTACTGATGGCCTGTCACAGGTTCAAAGCATACGATCTGAAACGGATTTTACTAAAGGACGAATTGGTTTAAATCCCATGCCAAGCATTGAAGAAAATGGGATAACTAGCAGTGAAGGAATAAACAAACCCCCAGGAATACAAGCCCACAGAAAGGTCTCAAAATTTAGCAACCATGAAAACTCCCCTACTATCACCGCGACAGAGGAAGATGAAGGCAAACAAACAGCTAAAGCAAGATGGAAAACCGTGAGGGATTCTCTTCCAAAAATCACTGCGAGTAAGAAAACTGACAAAAGCAAATTATCCATGTTGGAGCTCACTAAACTGTTTGAGGAAATTCGAGAATGTCGATACCTCCGTGTAGGAAGTAATTCGAGATACACAGATCATACAAGTCACAGTAGCAACATTTGCAAATGCTTGGCATGTGCTATTAAGGACAAAAATAAACTTAAAAATCACTTAAGCGCTTCAGATTAACCAGGCTTATCGCTTTCATCCGGATTACAGATTTCATTTTGGTTTTACAGCCCAAAGCACTTACAGTTATTAGTGTCTAATGAGTGCTTTCAATCATCTGTCTAGTCCAGGAGTTTAACATTATGTATGTTCAGAAATACAAGGATTCATCTGCTGCAATCATCGTACAGCTGAAATGTTTACATTGGTGTTCCATTCTTTTGTTTCCAAGGAGCTCACGAGATTGAAACCAAAATTGTTAATGAATACTAATAAAGACAAGCCATATTCTTCAAACAAACTGACAACTTTATTCAAGCTACACAAAACTAGTAGCATTTACACAATTTTTTGAATATTTTACATTTTGCTCCTTAACTCGATTTCCACTTGACAAATAGGATTTGCAATTAATCATCGAGTTGGCAAAGCAGTGCAACACCTCTCTTGATCCAGTGATTCTGAGGTTTGTCAGTAGGTAACATCACTGGCATCACATAATTGGTTGAGTGGCCCGTCGTTGATAGAGTTCCTCGTCTTTCACTTGTCTTATACACTGGACACTTGTATTCTTGCCTGTCTTTAAAATCTGCAATTTTCCCTAAAAAAGAAAGAAAAAACAAAACAAAACAAAACAAAACGGTTATGCTGGGGTCAATTTAGTAATTAGCAAAGCTAACTTTCACTTGAAATTTACTACTGATAAAGCACCGAGAAACTTGTGGCTTACGGTATGAATGTTTAACCTTTTTTCTTCACAATTTCTTACCCTGCAAGATACCTCACCAGTGTCATGCCGTAAATCAATTTTCAGACAAGATTATACCTGTTAAATTAGTTTCTTAACATTAGTAGGACATCAAGCGAAGGTTTGGGAAAACTAACTTCATGAAAATGGTGGTTGAGAAGGGTTAAGTGTTTCATACAGAAGGTACAATGTGAATACGTCTCATGAAGATTGTTAAAAACCTAAGGATATTCACAATTATATCTGCTCCTCTCAACAGCTCACGCGCACACCAAGCTGAAAAAAATTGTTTGTGCTGATTGTGGACCAAATCTCGTATCAACGCTTTGGTTTTCAGTACATAAATTTTCAATATTTTTTCCTGTTTAAATTGAAGTGATCGTCATCTCATGCCAATAAAATCGAAATCAGATATGGACATGAGAGGATTTCGAACGTCCATAAGAATTATTCAATGTAAGTGATTTCTAAACAAATTATACGCTTCCTATTTTTTATATCCTCGGTACACACTGTACAATATCTTACCTGGTTTCACCCATATAACTGGTATCGTGTCATGGAGAATCTTTGGCAATGACTCACCGATCAAACCTCTGTTAAACAATCGAATGTTAATATGTGAAATATATAGTCGTAGGCTGAACCAAGACAAAATCATACTCTTCTCACAAACCTCTTTCGATCCCACCGAGCGCCCTCCAAAAATAGACCGTGTACATAAACTCCATCACTGGGTGGCTTTTCTGCAGTGTCTCCAGAAAGAACCTAAAGTAAAACGTGAAGGTGAAAATTCAGCGTAGATCAGACATTGCCGGCATTGTACTGAGTGCTGAAATTAGTTACTTCTGAAGACGGTCGGGACCGTTCCTGGTGGGCGTCCCTATTGCACACGTTATTTATAAGAGCGTGTGCATCAAGTCGTCTACCAAGCGCCGACTCGTCGCCAATCGTCTCTTTAACATGTGCGGCCCCTAAAATAAGGAAGTGGAGACGGGAGAGGAGGAAATGGAGGAGACCTTACTCAACTCTCATCACATTTCACGCTTTCATCCTGCCCACGTTGGACGCCCCCGCTTTAAAGAAGTGTGCGGACGAGTCAGTGTCGTGCAAATAGTAAAAAAAAAACTAAATATCTATCAACTTCTAAATGTTTTATTTTTATATCTTTTTTACTTCAGAACATATGAAGCAAAAAGTAATTTTAGAGTAGAAAGGAAGGCGCGAGATTGATAACACTTCATATCAACTTCATCTCGTCATCTAATTTCCACTGTTGATTTACAATGCACACTGTACAGTTTTGTACAGTTCCGAAATTGCTCATTTGTCATCAACTCTACTTACACTAGTTCTTTCCGAAAGCTAGAGAGATTGTTTTTGTAAATCAAGTGTTGTTTTGGAGCTGTTATCATGTCCAAAGTGGAAAGTTTCTTTTGCTGTTCCGGGAAAAGGAAAATCTATTCGCAGTTTGCATCGGAGCGGAAACATTGATCATGGATAGAGACAGGGGTTTCTAGCATTGCACTTCGAGCATCGATCGTTGAAAAGCTGTGTTGTGTTTCGAGTGTAGCTCTCCTTCCTCTACCTGACCTCTTTCCTCCTCTTCTTGCTGGTTGAAGCACCTTCTTTATCGACACAAATAGCTTCATATTCACGCGACCTACCCCCTTACAAATTGTCTCTTTGCTTTCTAGCACGCATCAGCGCCGACAGGCAAAACAGCGTCAAATAGCTTGATCCAATGTTATTGGGTAACAGCCTTCAGAGGCGTGAAATGGAAACGCATTTATGTAAACAACCACCGACGCCCCGAAAAATTAACAGTCGCTTTTGGTGGTAAAGTATTTCGACTTGAGGACTAATCTTTGAAGAGTTTATTCTCGACTGATATTTGGTCAATTTTCGTGAAATGGGAAATAAAGTCGGAAATATACTGAACCCCAAAAGAATGTCCCGGATTTTTCAATTTTTTACTTCTTTCTTGAGATATGGCGTCTACAATGAAACCTTTGCTCAAAAGCCCTACTTTGAAGTTAAAAAAATTCCAAAAAAAATAACGAGGCTTTAAAATGCAAATCCTGGACACCGTTCTTAGTTCAAAATGTGCAGATCACGTTCTGATAAAAAAAGAAACGTGTTGATTAAAATGCGTCGTCAAATAAACTTATCCTGAAAAACGTCTCAGCGTAAATGACTAAGCTCCCATTCTGTTCTACGGTAAAAATTATGAAAATAAATTATATATCCGAAATCTGTGTTTATTAAGCTTTTATCAAGCAGAGTACAAATGACACGCGAATATAGTACAAATATCCTGCGATATTTGTACGGTTTTTTGAACAGTTGGTTATTGTGTACTTAAAGAAAAAAACCCTGTTTAACCAGTCGGCTGCGCGTGCCACTCTTCTACATCTGCTTAGCTTTACCCGCCCTATGAGAAATGAGCAGAAAGACATACCAGAAAAAAAAGCAGTTTGATAATAAATAACTTATGAAACGTTTTGGTGTGTAGTATCGCTGAGTATTTTTATTCGTTGTTTGTATTTTGACGAGCCCTCACTCAGCGATACTACACACCAAAACGTGTAATAAGATATATATATTGCGATTTATGGGCATCATCAGATAGAACCCAATTATGGTGCCTTTATACAACTTCGAATAACTACTGCTATTGTGAAACTCACTTCAAACTCAAAGCCCAGCAAGTCAATCGGTATAGTGTACTTCCTTGCATAATTCTGCTTTGCACCTGTCAAGAAAGCCTAAGAAGGGGGCACAAACAATATAGGTCGTTATCAACTTAAACGTCAGAGACTACCACTGCTGATGAAAAATTCCCAAAGAGAAAAACCAGGTCTCAAAGTTCGTTGATTTAAATTTAAAACGAAGTATTAGAGACGGAGTCAAGAATTCCAATGGAATAAAATTTAGTAAAGAATGACGAGAATCACGCGGTGAACAACTTAAATAAATATGCTGACATTCACCGAGTTCCTGATCATCCTCTGGCTACAGAATAATTCCCATGACCTTTGCATCGTAATCAGTTATCTGTGCTCCTCAAAATATAGGATAAATCAAGCAGACATGTTCCACACTCACTTGGAAAGAGTAGCATGCTTTAATGATATACCGTATTTCCACTACTGGTTTTTCTTAAAGCCAAATGATGTTTGATGCAGTCTTTAATGCGCTTGTAACCAAATGACAAAAAGGACATCTTGACAGCCATATTTCACAGTCCACACCAGTACAATTGGTTGCTAAAGAGCTTGTAATTCTACCTCATTCATTAATATAAAAGACTGTCAACAAAAAACTGAGAAACTGTACACTACCTGTGTAGTGTAGCTTGTAATTCTACCTCATTCATTAATATAAAAGACTGTCAACAAAAAACTGAGAAACTGTACACTACCTGTGTAAAGAAGAACCCGGATATCCAGAACACAACTGGTTTCCCTTTGTCGAACCAGTCCTAAGGAGGAAATCATCATCACCTCAGTTATTTTCGAACCCAGCAAACCAGTAAAAATACGTTAATTCTTCCAAATCTTGCCCAGATACTCCAAATTTCAAATTGGAGAATCAACTATAATTTTCAACTAAGTTTTAATTTAAGAATAACCAATGTCGATTTTTACCTTTGTGATTGTATATTCTCCATTTGGGTAATTTCCGAGAAAAATAATATACGCTGAATACTATGTTTTCCAATTTTAATACCTGTAAAAACTTGAGTCTGGCTAGAAAGTCATTGATGTAACTCCCGAGAGGTTTAAGAGAGGGATATGATCTCTTCATCCACATCTCAGGTACCTACATAAAAAAAAAACAACAAACAAACAAAAATAAATTAAAAAACAAAAACAAACACGAAAAATATCGTGGATTCAAGGTTTGAGCATGACTTTGACTCACTTTTCCAACTAGCAAGCTGCTCGCCAATGCCTCCAGATCTGATGACATGACAACCAAGCCTTTTATAGCCTTCTGCAGATTTTGCAAACTTGTTCTGATTATTGACATCAATCTGAGAACACAAGATACAAACATATAACTCGAACCTTTACCTGCTAGAACTCCAGCTAAGTACAAGAGAGTGACTTACTTGTTAAATCGCTCCATCTCTTGAACCAGAACAGTGTTCATACTCTCTTCGTATGTGACTGGATATTTTTGAAGAGCCACCTCCAGGTCATAATCCTTTGGAAGCTGAAAACATTGTCAAGAGTGTAATGAATTTAAGTCTCTCAAACGCTTTCTGAATCTCTATATCTTTTCTCATCCAACAAAAGTTTCAGCCACGAAGGATACTCTCTGACTGTTGCCTTGTTAACAACTGGAAATTATTCGCAGAAGACAAGAAACGAACAACTATTTCATAAGCTGATGGAAGATCCAGAATATTTCCGAGTGGAGGCATAGATATATTTCCTATTATAGGATTTTTTGCCGGTTTGTATTTTGCCTTCAAAGTGGAAATACAAGAGAAATTAAGGAAAAATGTCGCCTAAGATAACTTTTCATTGATTATCGCTGTCACATTTAAGTTGCTTCCATGGTTCTACATGATCGTCCTAGTATTGTTCAGGAACATCTAATCTTCAAGAAGTAATTTGGTTTAATATAGATCACTACGCAGACAGACTCTCAGAAGGGTCCCATGATGCGAATCGCCAAAGTAAACAAAGTTTTACATCGATTTGAGCGATACAGAACATCCAAGCTTAGGAGAGGTCGTTAAAAAGCTCTTTTGGTTCCTTCGATCTAGTTTTCAACTTGTTGATTACTGGGTCTTCCACATTTTCATGCTCAGTGAGTACTTACCTTGGACAAGATGTCCTTAGCAATCTCTAACAATACGTCATCAGACTTTTTGCCAGCTCCTCCTTCGCCGCTTTGTGACTGAGTCAGCAATACAGAGTCAAACAGCTGTTGATTCATAAAACGTTTTTCACTATTATAACACATTAATAAGACGACGGTTGAAATCCAGTTTAAATACATGCGTTACCTTAATTCAGCCTGCCTAGAAATGTCACCTAATTCCTGCCGCTAGAAACGAGGTCTCCACACAAGCTCATAGCTGTGCTTAAGAACTACAAAATCTTCAAAAAATGAGCAACAAACCTGTTTAGTTTCCTGCAGCTCCTTGGAAATGTCCACATTGTCGTGCATCCCAAAGACCTCGGGGGTCTGGGATAAGGGAAGTTCCTACAGTACACAAGAGGCTTCAGTTAACCGCTCTGGCTCAATACTAGTTAATCCTCAAGACTATGGTAGAAGAATTTACCTTGATAAACTCTACATACTGATCGTATGAACTTTTTGGAGGAGCGTAGTAAGTGCCACTTTGTGAGAATTTGTACTTAGGATCTTGTACAATCTCCGAAGTGTAAAAGTCTGCCAAGATACTCATAAGGCACCGTCTGAAACCACCAAATGAAAACACAGTTAACAGCCATGATGACGCTTGTGTAAATTGTTTAAAATTTTCGAGGTATTAATTTACAAGGTGAATTTAGGTATATATTTACTACGATACGTGAAAAAAGGATTTTATCTTTCTTGACATCATAGCGTGCGCGCTTGTCCCATCTAATTCCTATTGTGCCATCAAGTTGTAAATCTTTATGGTAGGCTGTGTGTACATAACATGACGCATGCAGTTGCATTTTGCAGGATAAATCCCGTCACTTTGGCCGCGAGATGCAATGCTTTCAACAATCAATGAAAGAAACTAGCGAAGAAATTGTCACCAGCACACTGAAGTCTTCTTCCGCCAATATAGCTGTCCATCAAAACAACAACAGCAACAAAAATGATGATAATAAAAACAATAACAATAAGAGGAACTAATAATAATAATAATAATAATAATAACAACAACAATAACTTATGAGATAGAGTTACTCTCGGCTGTGTCTCAAGCAACTCTTACGGCTCTCTCATGCTCTGCACACTTTCCACATGCAACCAAACCTTGCTGAGCATGATCATTCAACGACCTAGTGACAAATTCTTAACCTTTCTTTACTTAATTAAACGTTTTAAATCCCGCCAAAAGGGTATAAATATTAATTAAAACGTCCGGTAAATGCACACATGTCCAGATAGTTATAGGTATTTTTTGGAAAGGTTTTCATTACAGACCTGTCGTTGTCATCAGTAACTCTGCCTCCATAGTTACATTCCCCAGTCAGATAAGTGATGGCGTCAAACGGAATCTCTTCGTACTCATTGATAAACATCTGAGAAAACAAAAACACTAGTAACTTACGAGCAACCTACAACCGTTCTTGAATTTCATTGTACAAACCTGTAATTGTCTAACGCTGATTCTTAAGTCGGACTCGTTGAAACCATACGGTATGTTCCAGCCCAAGGGACCAAACTTTCGCCTCTCTTGTACCAAAGCGTGGAAGAAACACAAACCAAACAAAAGCTTCTCCCAGACCTGAATGGGAAAAATACAATGCTTAAAATTGAACGTCCAGGTGCCACACTTAGGTAAAATACGTTTACGGTTGATTGTTCCTGAAAAGAAGAACCTTGCTACTTCATCACAACGTTACAAGTTTACTCTTCGGTAGTGAAGACTGACAACGACAACAACGAAAGTCGGAGAATGTAACATTAACTGAGAACATTTTTTCTAACACTTGTTCATTCCATGGCTCAAATACAGCTGTCTAGGAAAATTCTCAAGTGTTGCTTGCTTACCGCAGATTTAGCCCCACAACCACTGAAGAACTCTTGATCAGATATTGGGTCACTCAGATAGGACTGCAAGAGATTCTGGCGCAATCCTGTTGGGGGCTCATTTGTCATCTTTACACCATTTTGAAGTACAGTAACTGGAAACTAACCAGTAAATGGTAAAAAGTTAAGAGGGTCATCCGAGCAAGCACGTCTATGCACCAGTCTTACTGACTAATGGAGATACTACAAAACAGACATATTATATGGAGGTTTACAAATTTGAGCTGAGCCGCCCAACAAAGGTAACGGTAAGCCATTGTGACGAGCGGGGAAAAGAGTAAAGTTCTGAATGATTACAAATAGTCAACAACTTCCACTACGAAACCTTAACTATCAACGCTAGCACTACCACTAGATCTGCTAGTCCTTGGCCTTTCTGGTTACCTTATCAGAGGGATAACTTGTTAGCCACAACCTGAAGTCCTGATGAGTATTCTCTGGAGACAAGTCTTCGCAAATCTTCTCAAGTGAAGTCATCCACGACACTGCTAAATGACAGTTTTGTAATACAACCCAGGTTCCATCCTTAACGGCATTCTCTATGAGACGAGCGGCAACAGGCCCCTGACAAAAAGCGTCATGCATGCGATAATTTTTACACATCCCTTAAGATTATGTGGGTTCATGCGCATTCGAGTGAGTTTCGTTAAAAATAAAACCAAAGCTAAACGCGAAAATATCATCGAGAGCTAGTGAGAACTCAGTGCAAAAACAAGTAAAATGCCTGAAACGGGAAACCCTAATGACTAGGTAGTCATTGGTTTCGCTTTGCATCTAGTTGATTGAGATGTTAGTGCAACTTCCTTGAACCAATCACAGAACGAATCGACACCCACATGAAAACTGACTGCTCATTAGGCAAGATATGAGATAAGGAAAGAAATATTTACGGTTATAACAAAATCGATTAAAGAAGGAATCTAAACTGCGAAAACACGTTCACTACGAGCCAACGCTGAAAACCAATTAAATACAAAAGAAATACCTGTCCTTGTCCGAGGGAAATCGCATTAAATCTGTCCCCACTGAAACCTTTATCTGCTGCAAACTTCATTAGGCCTAAAAACAAAACCATGGTTTAAATAATTGAATTAATTAACAAATAGACAGACTGACAGACAGACAGACAGACCACAGTCTTTCACTAATAAAGACTTGCGTAGAAAGCCAGTGATATAATTCAAAATTGTCAATAACACATCCGGTCACTAACCTGCCATAGGATCAGCTCCAGGAGATAATACAAAAATAAGTGGGGCACATGAATTGGAATCAACGTAGCTCTTAGCCAAGTCAAACGGTGGGGGCTGAACAAACTTACTCCCAAGCTTGTCTTCCACGAAGTTCGTTACAAGTGGCACAACCTGTGTGTAAAGTAGTATCGTAATGTTCAGTTCTAGCCGAGAAGAGATAGTCGGTTGAATAAGGTTCTTGAAGCTTATAATTAACAAATTTGTTTCATGTTGTTGTGGGTTTGTTCAGTAACAGAACATAGATGACGTCAAAATGCGAAGGGAACGAGTGGGAGTGTATCACTGATGACAATTTTCTTTGCTCGACGTCTTCATTGATCAAGTACTGGACAGACACAGGGAAACATAGATTCTCTTTGTCTTATAGAAGAACGAAGCAAAAGTTGTTCATGGTGACGCCATGTGTGTGAGTATGTGTGTGTGTGTTTGTTAAATGTCAGATAGATAAAAGAGTCTCCCCTGCACTATGGGTATAACCTTAACACTATTACATCCAAATGGTTCACTGTTTACAACTCTTTTGCTACATTTCTACTTCCTATTTGATTTAACTACTAACCACACAATATCGTAATAAAATCACCTCCAACGTTTGTAGTTTGCTTTTGTTCTTTTGAAGATTTCTCTATCTCATTTTCTTTTTTGTTTATCTAAATAATGGAAGATAAAGTGCTATTTACTAGGCACGTGATTACCTTGTCAGGCCGGAGGCACCTAATGACCATCATTTTCTGGAAGTCAGTCAGTTGTTCAGACCATGGAGCGGGAAAAGGAGCCCGGTGAGGTTCTTTGCTGTCATAAATCTTGCGCCACTCGTGCGTATTACCAACAAAACTTTTTCTGTAGAGTAAGACGTTTTTTTTATTATTTTCTAGTAAAAGGAAGGACAATTTTTCGGTTTTAGGACGTGTTTTCACTTTCCATGGCTTTAAAAAAAACAAACGGATTATCCTAATTTTGAAAAGAGAAAATTCAATCAATACGATTTCATGCATTCACAAACCTGAAATCCTTGAAGCCACGCAAGTCACACATTCGACAGAGTTCATCCCACGCTTTATCTGACAACCAAGAAGGATCTGGGTTTTCCAGCTGCAAAAAAAGCAAACGTTTAATGAAAATCCTCCAGGAACATTGCAGTACACGAAAAACGACGGAGGAAAAGTGCTGGGTAAAGAAAAACAATGGCGATGAATCAATGCCAAAAGACAAAACATCATTTTCTAATGAACGATAATAAGCTAAAAAGATATGGAATTTGATCGATCGCATCTTACCTTGTTTTCCAGGCCTACCCCACCAGTCAAGAAAAACATGAATTCTTCCATGTCCATCTCATTCTTTGAGCTGCAATCAAAAGTTTTTAACAATCAATTTTGAGTGTTCGAAAATAAGCAGGTATAAGAAGAAAATAGATATCAAAGATGGTGGTAAAAATCACTAAACAGTGAAATACTCCAGACCCACTGGTAGGGCACGCACGCTAAGTGAAGGTTTCGCTGCCGTCACTGATGACGGCGACATGACGGACATATCACTCGCAATGCCAAGAAACAAGGCACAGTGCATCACTGTTACACAAATCATACATCACAACAAATTTTACAACGAAGAGGTTTTCGGTAAGAAATACAAGAGAGTCAGGGTAGATAGTGTAATTCGAGTAAACTATACGTTGGACAGAAAGCTTAAAACTGGCCTTTCTCTCCCTTCGAGTGATGTTATTTCCCCAGATGTGTTATCATCATTACAGTGATTGACAGCTGGTTCCCCGCAAGTTTTAGATCGAACTATACTCAATTTGCTTTTCAGTTCTCTTTCCATCCCCTGTTACAAACGAGAGGCAGTTTAACACGACATATGACGATTAATCCATGTGGCTACACATCAAGTTTTAGTAAATCGCCCCTCGGTCGTGAAACGGTTACATGTACCTATGATTTTTCTATCTTAAATAAGAAAAATGCAACACTGAACGTCGAACTTACTTCAGAATGTTGCAGCACAACACAAAAGAGAAAAGAAGTTTGTCTTTTTCAAATAGTGATCGACACACGTTGCAGTACAGATTGTAGGTAAAGTGATCACTCAGGTAACGCAATCGACGCTCTAGGATCTTCGATTTGTTGCTGGAATGAAAACGAAAACAAACATCAGCACACAGTCCAATGTACGTCGCTAAAAAGAATAAATACACGAATAAACGATAAAGAATACAAAGCACAAAATATTTAAAAGAATTATTCAGTTTTATGAAAATAGCCAGAAATAATTATTAAGTCACAGATTATGTCAGCCACACCATAGCCGAGGCTGCCGACCCCAGAAGAAAAGCTTTACCAAAATTTCTATTACCACAAAACAACGAAACAATACGTTGTCTTGCAGCAATTGCAATAAGACTTGAAGCCTACATGTAAAATAAGAAAATAAAGGTTGGGGAAAGATTAACCACTATGTTCTCTTTTTTTTGACAGGTTTATATCTATTTCCCAATTTAAATGCCATTAATTAAATAACATTAATTTATTAACACCACAAAAAGTAAATATAAATTGCATGCCAATCACCAACGCAATGTTCAAAATGTACTAACCTGTCATGTATGGAGTTAAGGAAGAGATTAACAAACCAGGTAAGCGAAGACTGGTACATGGGATCAATATTTGGTAGATCAGTTATGGAAAAGAACAGAACTGATGCATGTGCTGCTATTGGGTTGTATCCACGTCGTGACTCGTTGATCTTAGTTTCGGTCTCCTCTGCAATCTAATCGAAAGACAATTGTTAATTTGTATTACATAACTTACCCTACTCTCAGACAGAACAAAGAATTATTGAAAACAGAAAAAGGAGAAGTAGGTACTTACTCCTTCATCTATCGGATGGCAAAACCTGCTGCCGTTTTATGGCAGAGATAACTATCCAATAACAATAGTGATAATAAGCTCTTTATGAACCAAAAGAGACACATTTACCTTCTGCTTCTTTGAAATCTCATCAGAGAGTACCTGCAATCAATCGACTCTTTAATCAGTTTTCTTCGTAAGTAATTGGTTCATTCAATGTTAAAACAGCGAAATAAGAAAAATTTTGAGGAATTGGGTTTGCAGATGATAAATCTTCGAGGCATCAAATTTTCACATTCCCCCGTTTTGATCAATCGTCCGACCATTCTTTGCAATGAAAATCTATGAGGTGAGGGGGTTTGGGTAGGAAAGAAAGAAACGTGGTATCCGTTAGTAAACTGAGGAAAAGGAGTTTACGTAAGGTCTTCTCTGATTTTTTCATGAATGTTCCCTGAATTCCTACGATTTCAAACATTTACTATGAATAACACATCGAACATTTTCAGGACATGTAACTGACTCTAAGGTAAGGATGAAATGTTTGCAACTGTATCCATTAGGGCCATTTGCTCCACTGGCTTGCGTTACGTTTTGTAAGAGCTAGAAGCACAGCTTTGGCTACATTATTGAAATAATAGTATGTGTACTGTAATAATCAAAAGGAACAATTTCAGATTTGTCTTATGGCATCAGCTAAATCCACCAATGACAGAATTAATCACAATAACCATAGCAACAGCTACTTATCCTCAACAGATAGTGAATTGGCGAGTTTTTCACTTTATACTTTGTCTCTACCGGAGATATTCTCCCTTCATGTATTTGTTTTTTCGGAAATTATAATGTTTATGATCCAACTCGGTTTGTAATCATACTCGTGATTGTCAAAACGGACTCCCGTTTCGCAGTCATCCGATTTTGTTTATCACTCGTACGATCACAGACGAACTCCACTCGGTCCTATTGCCATTATTAATCTTAAACATCTGCAAGGGCTATTACACACTAAACAGAATGCCCTGTGCAATACTAGGGAATAACCTTAACAAGCAGTGATCATTTTTTAATATTATGCAGTGCACAGATAATGTATGGGCTTACCTTAGATGAGTCTAATATCTGAATGGCTGTCTCGTCCTCCAAGATGTTTCCTTCAGAAGAGGAAAGTGTTTCTAGAATCTTGTCTTCAATCTCCTTGAGCTGTTTTTTGTTTGCAGCACTCTGCAGTATTAATGCCTGTCTTTCCTCTTCAAGGTCAGGTCTAAAAAAAGGCAAAGTCGATGAGTGAAAGGTTACGTTTATATACAAGGAATTTATAATATATCTATGAAACATAAACCTTTCTTTGGCGACAACAATTCCCAACAGTTGGTCTTCCAGGCCCTCAGGAGTGATCATGAAGTTAAGCAATGTGACCTTCGTGGATAGTTCAGGTAAATAGTGAGGATTCCGCAGCTTGGTTGTGACATAGAACCGAAAGTCATCGGAATACTCAATCACGCTTTCACCCAAACGTAAGCACTTTACACCACCTACAATAAAAGGATTTGATCGCTAAGTATTATACCATCAAATTAAGTTCGTTCATAACAAAGCTAGTCTCACGATTTCATCAGGTCCACGATACTTCCCTGAGGAAATGCTTTTTTCTCTCTCTAATTTGCAAGTTGCTTGTAAATTTACTCATCCACCAGACTTCTGACACGAATACCATTATAAAGGAAGTCTCTAAAGCTGCAAATTGCATGCACATTAAGGGTTCATGTTTGAATTCTCAAAGACTTTGAGACTTATGTCCCTGGTCATGCAAGTGCTAATTGTGTATAATGCCAGTCGAAGAACGTTAAGAAACACGATGTCGATTGGATTATTTTTTGTTGACAAACAACCGGGGCGGCAATTGTTGCCCAAAAACTGTTAAGCACCCTTCTTCAATAATAATGTAAGAAGACTTGGTTCATACCTTGTTTAAACGTCTGCTTTAGCAGCAGAGGTTCTAGAGATGGGTCGAGTTCCTCGCCTACATTCTCAAGGAGAACGGGGTTTCCAAACTGGATGCTGTTCTCAAGAGTACGAATGTAGTCAGCATCAGTTAATTTGATCACCTGGAAAATGTTTGAAAGTAAATTTCAAGTGTAAATAACTATAAGAAGACCTTTTGTGTAATTACATGTAGAATAAATGCTGACCTCTACCATGGGCAATGCAAGAATGATTAATTGCATACATCTACAGTATTTGCTATTTACTAACATACGCCAAAGAGTGCTGAAATGTAATGACCTGATTTTAAGACAAAACTGAGCCCCAGCGGAAATGGTATGGACGAAGACAAATAGGACATTAATAATAGGACATTAAGAAAATGAGATTGACAGGGATGTGACCAATTCAACAAAAAAAGGTTCTAATGGGCTGTACTAAAGTAAAATTAAGGCATCACAAAGGGCATCAAGTCACTTATTATCTCTAAAGCTTATGAAACGCATTTGTAATTCAAGGAACATCGGTGGGAACTTCAAGTTCCTAAACAACGTACAGAAAGGAAAGAATACTGATGTTTGGAGAATTTTCAATCCAGTTTTGTTCCTCGCAGCCTTCTTCACCATTTTAAACACTTTGAAAGTACAGGGAATCCTAAAGTTTTAATAGCATCATATTTTCTGGCTGTCCAAAAGACCCTAACCAAAGATATATTGCGATCTCGAATAAGTGAAGATACATTGAACAAGAGAAAAGGATAATATTTCAAAGAGGACTCCTCGATTGGTTGTTGCCTATCTGGACTTTGCCCTCCGTGTGTGAAATACTTGATAAATGCAGGTTGATTACAAGGAATTAACACGGGATTGGATTAAGTTCAATGTAGCTAAAAGCCAATTTTATTTGTAGAAAAGGTCAAAACGCGGGAGAATTGCGTGGAAATTTTACTGTCAGTTGCATTTAGTGTCATGTGAATTTTTTTCAGAGTTGGACAACGATGGCAGAATACGTGATTAAATGCAGGTTGTTTACAAGGAAATGACACGTGATGGAGCGAAGTCTAATTTGGTAAAATGGAATTTGATTGGTAGAATACAATTCAAGCACGTGAAAAATTACCTAATGCTCATGTAGTGCGATGATTGTGTATGTTCTGATTGGACTTTGGACGTTGTTTTCATGGTGCGTGAAGGAATGCAAGTTGTTTGGCGTGTGAGTTGCGAGTAACGGAGCGGAAAAACTACGTTTTAGCTTAAAATGATGCAAAAAGGTTAAACGCAAACCTTTCATATCCCGTTAAACCTCGATCTTTATCGAGGGGGGCTCTTACGACGGTCACAAACTATTACACTTATCAAAATTAGCCCGAATTTTATGGTTTATGTTATTCTTTCAGCACAGCCCCCTGATTCCATGACATCATTCGCAAGAAAGCTTTGATATGGTCGGTGCAATTTACATACCTTCAACGCTATGATTGGTGAAAGATATAAAAATGCTGTGATTTGTGAAAGATATAAAAATGCTGTGATTTGTGAAAGATATAAAAATGCTGTGATATGATTGGTGCGAGATACCCTAATGCGGCAATCTGATTGGTGCGATTTGCATACCCAAATGCAGCAATCTGATCGACGCAAGATACATACCCAGATGCGGCGATCTGATAGGTGCGAGCTACATACCATTCTACATGCTAACATAGAGTGATTTTTTTATATAAAAAAAACCTCAAAAACACAAGAAAAATCTTTCGTGCAAAATTTAACTGTTGTAAATGAAATTTCCACATATAATTCAGGAAGTGCCAATGTGATGGTTTATTCATCAGCACCCAATATGGAAATTACTTACTGAAAGTTGGTTATCTTTCTCAGAGTTTTTGATCCATTTGTTTGCTTGCCCTTGTGGGTCAATCATCAACGGCCTGCAATAATAGACAATAACAAAGCCATTGTTTTTTCTCATCGGCGAACTGTATCTTCAGCTTTACTCGCTTCAAGTTTTAACTCAGCAAGAAGGTGGTTCATTCACTCTCCCAGCGCAAACAAATTCCTGCATGATATTCATTCCCAGATATGATTATTTTTCTATGTGCAGTTAGTCTTGTGTGCAAAAGAGAAGCAGGCTAGTTTGTTGCAGAATTAGATCCATGTATGCTCCAAACAGTGGAGGCGCGGTGGCCTCATGGTTGGTGCGCTTGACTCCAGATCGAGCCCTGGTCGGGGTCATTGTGTGGTGTTCTTAGGCAAGACACTTTACTCTCACAGTGCTTCTCTTCACCCAGGTGTACAAATGGGTACCAACAAATGTGCTGAGGGTAGCCCTGCGATGGACTAACAGCCCAACCAGGGGGGAATAGCAATACTCCTAACCGCTTCATGCTAAGAAAACCGGAATTAAGCCCCTGCCCCATGGGCCACTTGGGCCCGTATAAAGGCTTACTTACTACTCTATGCTCCAAACACCACCGTAATAGAAAAAGAAATATGGTAAATTTTAAGCACGGTAGTGAGGTAAAGAAGGATGTTTTTCTTCTCGTCTCGTGCGTGGAAAAAAGCAAAAATTCTAAGTCCCCATGAGGAATTCAACCTCAGGTCTTCGGAATTCGTGCTCCGATGTTCTGCCACTGAGCTACAGAGACTGCGGTAAGCCAGGCCATTACGAGATTTCTAATGTGGCATGCGTCCTGCATACACTATCAGAACAAAGACAAGGATCTAGCCAGCAGCACCAAGCAGGAAGACGACAGGTTGAAAGATATTTCTTTAGATACATTGTAAACTGTAACTGAAAGGTAACATACCATCTCCTTGTGTTATCCACAATGACTCCGTTATCAATGGAGAAAGAATCTGTCGGTAGACCTGCTATATTCCATGCCCTGATTTTAATGGCCTGACCCAATGTTTTACTGAGCGAAAAGTCATCTGAACAAGGTATGTTCTTGGACTGAATGACGAAAAAGGAAAAAATAAGCATAAACAAAAGGCACATAACCATTTATGCAGGTCGTGACAGTAAACACCCAGGTAACACTAAGTTTTAACACTCCATTGCCACTGCCATTCCCCTCCCTCTTGTTTCTAACTAATTCTTCTCTAAACATTTTCCAATCAATAACTGAACGTTGATAAGTACCTTACAAATCTTGGTCCACTCTTGAGTGCACTCTTTTCTGAAGCCAGCTGTAAAGGCTCCTAAGTAAGCTATGACTCCCGAGGAGATGAGGACATCTCCTGTCAGATTATCATACACATCCTGAAGAGAAGCTGCAGCTGCTGACCAGCGATCTTTCTCACCACCGAGTCCACCAATAAGCTTTTCTGCTCTTTCTAGTTTCTTACCACACAAATCGACCTACAAATAAGCAAAATCCTTAAGTCACACATAGCGAATGCACATGGTAACATCTTCGTAATTGATCGCGTGGTCTCCGTGAGGGAGTGGTACTGAAAAGGACTGTTGATGGGAACACATTACAAGATCAGTTGTTGCTCCTGACTTCAGACCATTTCTTGAAAGAATTCTATACTGTCTCATCAAAAAAACTACTTAGTAGCACAGATGATATCGCACAACCAGGGTGAATCGCATTCAAAAAAAAGTTTACAGTTTCTTTTGGAACTTTTAGAACAATGACTAGCATGGTGAAAGTAAAATCGACATCAAGAGATATTTAAAGCAATATTTAGCATATAGAATAAGAGAGACAGTATGTTTTGAGTTCGATAAAGAAATAGAAAAAGATGTTGTTGGTCTGGTCACGAGCGTGGGGCAAAGAAAAAATTCTGAGTCCCCATGAGGAATCGAACCTCAGACCTTCGGTCCGAACGGTTCAGAGGTTCGATTCCTCATGGGGACTCAGAATTTTTTCTTTGTCATACGCTCGTGACAAGACGAAAAACATCTTTCTCTAACATTTAGTCATTACAGAAGTAAACATCCTTTCTAACCTGAAACTCCAGTTGTTGTTTCTTGTCTGTCATCTCTGCAAATGTAAGCTTCAAATTGGCTAGTTTAGCTTCCACTTCAGCCAGTTCTTCACGTTTAGCATTCAAAATTTTCATAGTTTCTGCAAGGGATGCTTCTGCTTCGGCTAGATTAGCTTTCTTAGGCGCCACAACCTAAAAGAAAAAAAAAAGTATATATATATATATGTATATTTAGCAGTTAAAGGGAACTAATTTTACATCAATTTTTTTTCATTTATTTTCAAAGAACCCATCCATCTCTGACTGTTTAATTATAGGTGAAATGAAAACAAGGAAAATGTACAACATTTCCGGTGAACTTTGGTTTGCAAACACAAAGTGAGTTCAAAGGAGCTGATTCCAAGTTTTAATTTCGGCCTATCAGATACCTAAACATAATTTTCTAATTTTTGGCAACTGTGAGGCGTCTGGCTTTAGATTTCCAGGTGGGTATTAATTTTTAGACCTCCTTTTACTATACTGGCTACTCATTTTAAATCCTGTTGCAAGCGAATTTCAAGTTGCTAGGTTTGTTCACTTGTCGCAAAGATTAACTTCAGTCAGGTACAATGTAAGTCTCTTCTCATCCCTCCGCTAAATATCGCTGACAATTTTTTTGAAGGTCCCTTCCCCCTCCCTTCTCAACCGGGTCCGACATAAAAATAGTCTATTAAAGAGACTTACCTTAGCAACTCTGTCATATATTTCCATAGCTTGAACCCACTTACATAACCCTTCTGCCGCGGAAGAGGCTGTGCGCACTTTTTGTGGATCGAAGTCTGGGTTAGGAATGTACTCTTTTCTGATCTTACTCATGATGTGCACCTGGAGGCCAAAATGAAATGAAGTAAAACATAGGCGCGTCAGCAAATGGGTGAAAATTGAGATGTAGTGATCAAACAGTAAGTTTCAATTTACTAAAGCATACTTTTCATCCTGTATTACAGTGGGATTTATTCCAATTAAGCTATTACGCCGAAACTTGCGACAAGCTGAACTTATCTGCAATAAGCTAAAATACAACACTAACCTTAAATGGCCTAAAATGAATTTAACAGTATTTTAAAATTAAAAAAAAAATGATTTCCCGAATGGCCTTCTATGAAACTGAAATGGAAGACTTGAGTAAATAATGTCTGTTGACATTTATACAGCTTTAAGCTATCAGAACAAATTACAATTAAAAGCACTGAAAGTTTTTAGTGTGTAGAGGGTCACATAAGGTAGATACGTTAAGTAAAGGAATGACTAGCGGGGAATATTCCAATATCAACAATTATTATCCAACTGCACAAGGTAGAGTACAAATAACGTGCGAATAGATTACAAATATCCTGCGATATTGTACGGTCATTTGGACAGTTCGTTATTATGTACTGTAAAAAACACTTGTTTAACAATTCGGCTGCGCGCGCTACGCTTTTCTATCCGCTTTGCTTTTTCCCGCCTTATGAGAAATGAACAGAAACAGACAGATAACGGGTAAAAATACTCAGCGATACTACACCCCAAACGTCTTATAAGATATATTTACTCCCGAGGGACATAAAAAAAACACTAACACGGTAAAAAACTAAAAGTGTTAAGCGTCAACTTACTACAAACTATTCAATGGTGAAGAAACGGGTGAAGTCTCTATAAAAACTTTCCCTACAAAAACAGGTAATAGTTACTCACAGCAATGTTATCTTTATCATATTCTTTAAGATTGTTAAGAAAGTTCATGTCTCCTAACAACTTCTTTGATGGGCCCCAATAGTCAAGAATCTTCTTTCCAGTTCCTGCCGGATCATTAATTTTCTCAGGTTTGATATCACGCATGACACAGACTGCTGACATGACAAGCTTGACTCCAGCAGGAGGATTGGCCATGGACTTCACGATTGTTATGTCTGCTGGCTGTAAAAAAAAAAAAAAAAAGCAACGATATTTAAATTGTGTTGCCTTCTTCAAATATACCCAGCTTCCACCACTCCTAGAAACCTGAAACAAATCACTTTCAAGGGAAAGTCTTGAGGACCTTAAGTTTGAGGAAACTTGAAAAAGAAGATATTTCTCCTCAAGAAAGAGAAGTTAGTTTTGAATTCAAATATTAAACCTTAACTATTTCTATTTTTTTATACAGGTAGCCCCTCAAAGTGAAAAGAAATACGAAAAGAGTTTCCAACTCAAGAAAAACGAAATTTTGATTTAACCCGCCGACCTAATGATTCAGGTGTCTACAAGGTCAAACACAAACCACTTTTGGTCAAGTCGAGTTTCGAGATTATTACGTTCAGGAAAGTGTTAACATATCATTGTACTCTTTCTTATGAAACAACTTTAAAAGAAAAAGTGGCTTAGTATGTTTTACCACAAAAACTGAAAAATCTCTCTGATACAGTTCAATGTAAAACTGTTAGAGAAACAAAAAGGTGAAGTCTTTTCTCTCACCAAGAGCCATGTTTCAGAATTTCATCAAATTACTCATGCATATCCAGTCATACAAGGAACGATGTTTTCATAAAGGAAACTAAGCTTGGCCAACATATATATATCTATTTTTCATTACAAGGAAATTTTTAAGAAACACACACAAAGTGCGGTAGCATAAAGCTTCAGGCGGCAAAGTTTATCCGTAAAAATACCGATGGAAAGCAACGCAACAAAATGGCTACAGTAAAAGATTCAAAATATGATTAAAACCGGTAACACATCTAGCGATTTTATACGCCAATCGCTGTGATCAGCGTATGAAATCGCTAGATGTGTCACCGGTTTTAATCATATTTTGAATCGTTTATTGCATATCTGGCATGTCAGATATCGGCGATTAAATTCGCAGGAATTCGCCAAGTCTGCCCGTTCCTGCGATTTTCTCCCCTTTCCATTGCGAATTGCCCGTACAATTAACCACTCAAGTTGGGCGATATTATCACATGACTTTTCAAAAAGGCGGAAGGCATCGAAAATTGTTTTGTACCGGAGAATAAAAAGTCAATTTGATCACACTGTGGTCAGAAAAGCCATGCCTATTTGATGTAACGTCGAGCAACAACAGTAATCGTCTCAAGAAGGACTCTGCGTTTCAATAAATCCATGCCTTCGACTATATTGGCTTTAATGTCCCACTTTTCAGAATACTTCCTGGAGCGCTGTAGTTGCAAAACTACGGCAGCAGCCAGCAATTTTTTTGCTTCGCTGTCGCCGTTTTGTTTGGTTACATTGATTCGCGCAATTTTTAAAAGTCACCCGATGGAACCTGAGATCAAGGCCACATTGTCGCGAACGGCGAAAATAAACGCCGAGTGTGTCCGCAGCGATCTGTGGCGAAAATCGCTACCGATTTTCGCCGGCGATCAAATTTGCCGCGATCAGCGTATAAAATCGCCTGGTGTGTCGCCGACTAAAGCGACAAAAAAGTTTTAGCGCTTTAATGTGCTTTAAAATTGTCCTTTATTGCCAATAAATATTTTGTCATGACGTTACGTAAAAATAAATCTTTGAAGGAAGAAAAATACAAAGTGAGAGATCTACAGTGAGGCATTCAGGCACCCATGCAACTGCTTTAAAATAGAGATAATGGCACATACCTTGAGAGTATTTAGAGCGGCTAAGGCCGCCTCCAAGGCAGGGATAGCTTCCGCGAGGTCACTCTCACACTCTTCTTTCAAGGCCTGTGACTCTGATGCCTTCTGATTCGCAACTGCTTCATCTTTCCTCACAAGTTCACTACGAGCCTCAACCTCAGCTGATTCTTTTTCAATTACCTGTTGAGGACAAGTTACTTAATGTGAACACGTGCGGTTACATAGCATTACCAGTAAAACTTACTAAGCGCAGAGAAGTTACAGCTAATGCTGTGATTAGAAAAGGGGAACTAACTGTGATTGAAATTTTTCCCCTTCTGATTTGTTCAAGAATGTTCAACCAGGAACCCTTGCAATTTTAGTTTGATAGCATAACAGGTGCTGGTCAAATTAACACGATAGTGGTAGCAAAAATGATCACCTCCAAGATAGTGATAATTGTCTAGAAAACAAACGAATACACAACAACGAGGGCCTAATCAAATGATAATCTACTCAAAAACAAAACCGGCCCGAATATAAGGCACATTAGAAAGCAATATCCACTTGAAACACATATCATTTGTTCCAATGATTAAAATGCCTACCTTAATTTTAACGCGTAGTGTCACTAAACGAGTGTGACTGAAGCATTAATCCAATGTACAGAGTGACAGAAAAATCACACTTTTCTTTCAATAGAGGGTGGGTTGTTGAGAGTTCGCAAATTGTAATTAACACCTTGGTCAATGCAAGAGCTGGATTTCAAAACATGTCTCAACTTTAATTATTTTCCATTAAATCACGCCCTAATTCTATCCTGAGCATTTTGGAAATCTTAAGCATGAGGCAGAAAATTCTACCTGAAAATATTGTTCAGTGTAATTAGAGGAGAATACCGTGATGTTTTTTGATTGGATAGCACATCTTTGACACCAATAATTGCCATTAATCTAAGCATTAAGATGTAACTGCTGTCAGCCACTTTCAAAACAACGCTTTTGGAAGTAAAGAACAAATGCTTACTATCATCATTTTACTGTTTTCTTTGGCTGTCTCAACAAGCTGGGGCTGTAATTCCTCCAGCTCTTTCTGCATGTCTGCCACCTATACAAGTAAGACAAGACAGGTTTTAGTGCACAAGTCTGCAAAACTACTTCCTTAGCTTTAACTTTACGTTACCAACTCGGTTGATAATACTAAATTGCCCTATCATACACTCCCACCGATGCAGTACCACAGTTTCTTTAAAAACTTACCCCCCTTACTTCCAAACTCGGCCAACTATAGCATACAACCTACCTGGGATGCTGCAAAAGCCAGTTTTTCTAGACCAACTTCATAGCGGTGTTTGTTTCGCATGACCTGTAACAAACGAGATAATCAGATTTGATAAAGACGGTAGACATGCTACAGGATATTAATTTCATAGGAACAATAGTTCTGTCAAAACATCCTCTTTTCTACAAATAACCTTTTAGTCTTTCCCCGTTAAGAATAATTCGCTATTTAAAGGTAATATGTGCCTGGTCCCTTTACGCCTAGCTTTGGGTATAATTGGAACTCAGTGCACACCTGAGCGTGATGTTGTGGTCAAATAGATCAAAAGCTTGATTTATATCAAACTATTGTTATTAAATTTCCAACTCCGAATATTGCATTTTTGGTGTTCTGATTCGTTCACTCAACTCCGGTCATCAACTCATCTTCCGAGTCCCCTAAAATGGAAATGCATTGCACCAACTGTTGCGTAGCTAAAAAAAAGCGTTGGATTTATCCAAACGTTCAGGATTTAATGAAATATAATTAAATAACTATTCCATTCCCACATCCGACGCGCCCTGATGGAATAATTGTTAACTATGATTGGTCAATGATTAATACCTAAATACTCAGCTTAAACACACACCTCATCTTGCTTCTTTCCCAAGAGAGTTTTTAGTGAAGAGATCAACTCCAGATATGAGGTGGGTGTCACGTAGTTATGCCGGCCAAGTTTATCAAGATACCTGCGGATAGATTTTAGTTTTTGTAACGTTATAGTAATAAAACAGCGTGGCAATCAAACTTCCAACTAACGAAATAGAATCAAAGACCGAAGTGTTTAGCAAGGTTTAAATTTCATCGATTTGATGAACAAAACTTCAAAAAAACACAAGCATATCACAAGTGGATCTACATCAAATAAGTTTTCCACCGTGTACAAGAGCCTATTTGTATGCAACGTTAACGTAGACTACAAAGCCCAACCATAGGTGGAGAAGTCAGGAGGTCACATTAGTGCTGGAATTTGTGAACATCACAAATAGGACTAAACTCAAAGATAGCGTAGTAGCTGAACTCAAGCTTAGCTCTACATATCTGTTGAATCATGATTCACTGCGCATAAACCACCGTTATGCAAATAAAACAAAACAACAAGAAGAGCAACTTAACACACACAAAAATTACCTTTCAGACAAATGTCGAGCACTTGTATGGAAATACTGGCAGATTGGAACAACTTCTTTACGTTCATTATCGGTCATTTCCACATCTTGAAGGAACTTATTAGCTACCATTTCCAAAGCATCTTCAGGCCATGGCTACAATAAATGAACAAGTAAATAAATAGATAAAAATACAAATAAATAATTGTAATGATATGTACAGTATTATATGTGGAGAGATAAGAAAGTAATTTTCCATCAAGTAGTCTCATACATGTCATCCGAGCTTTCCAATAAGCTAACTACTTGCAGCGTAGTGGTGGTGATAATGAGTGTCACTGTATTAACCCAATATCAAATTTGACATTATATTCAGTTGAAGTATTGTAATGGCAACAATTGCCGCTCAGGCAAAAAGTAATATTACAATCGAGATAGAGCAAGAACGGCTCTTTTCATCCTGGTGGCACTTCAAACTGTGGGCAACAAATGATTTTAAACTGAACCACAAGCCCAAGAATGATACAATGTAAACATAAAACATATTAACATGCTCAAGTAAGAGATCACCTGAAACCAGTCAATAGTGCAGCAATTGATCAGAGCTGGGAACTGCCTGAGCCGGTTTCTGAATGCATCACCAATAGGACTCATGCATAGCAAAATGTGAAGGTTTCCTTTACAACAATTCACAAAGAAATTGAACAATGCCAAGGGCGAAAATTCAGCATTCTTATCGTCAGCTTTGGCTTGGGCTGCTGGGCGAACACTCTAAAGAAAAAGAAGGACAGAATATAGAGAGACCAGGGGAGATTTACTTTAAAAACAGAGTTACATATAAATTTCATATGTACACGCAAGGCCTTAACAAGACCGTTTGCAGGCAATCCTTACAGAATGATTTTTTTAAAGCAGAAATCCCCATGACCAAAATGGGAAAGGGTAAATTACAGTTCTTTATCACTTGCACGTAAAAGAAAACTTGCACTGAGTGTTACATAAGCTAACACCAGTTCTTCACTTATTGCGAAACTTCGAATAAAATCTATTGTTGAACCTTGAATTGAACGCCTTCCTATCTATTTCTGCAAGCTGTATTAAGGACCTCGAATTCGATTAGTAGGTAGTTTACATGTTACAACATCAAAAAAATTTACGATCCACTCTTACAATTCATTATAGTTCATTTGGTAGTTCTCAAATAGCCATTGTAAATGAATTGGGCCACAATTTAAGAAAGGGAAAATAAGCACCGCCCCTCCCTCCCCCCCCCCCACTTCCTAAAATACGTACTCCATCCCCTCTTATCATAAATTTGAAATAAGTACACAGTGAACTAAGTCACGGATTTATGTTAATGTGTCACTGACGTCCAGTCGAAATGAAAAAGATGTTTATATTATTTTCACTTGTAGAAAAGAAACTGTAGTTACCTCATTGATCTCAGCTTTCTCATCAACTGCAAACAAATTTGGAACTTCACCAGTGTTAAGTAAGCTGTCCACATCCTCCAAGAAAGACTCTTCCTTTATTTGAGTGTCTGTCAACAAAAACACTGTTGGCTTCATTTGACATCCTGCACTTTTAAGCAGCGTCTAAAGATACAAGGAAATAAAAATACAAACTGTGCATTGACAGGAGATAGGACAAAAGCCTGGTTGTCACTAGCCACGAAAATGGATGAAGATCAAAACTTGAAGTCATTCGTGGGGTAAATGAAATGTTTAGCTTGATAGAGTTGGAGTCGGAGGGTTCACATTTTCAAACGATTCTGTGTAGAACTTGGAAGCTTGTTATCCAATAAAACTCTATTGATAGTGTTGCAAGCAGAAGTAAAAAACATTAAAAAAATAAATAAACAAATAAATAAATGAAAAAATTACCAGTCGCAAAGCCAACTAGACCCTCAAGCTCATTATGGCTTCAAGGATACAGTTTTCACCAGACCATGAGTTTTGGGGTCATAAGTGGCATTGGCATCCAGCTTGTGATTCTGTCGCTTTGATCTTCAGCAAATCATATCACTCTCAGCTTCCTATCACAATCATGACTCCCAGTCTATCTTTAATGAAAATCAGCCTCATAAAAAGCTCTTGGAGTTTTACTTAGAAGTCTTATGCATCACTAACCTTGATGTCTTCGCGCCATTCAGGAAGACCATAGCTTTTTGAGATCTCTGGTTGAAAGACGTAAAAGTCAGAAATGGCTGCTGCCAAACGGGACAGAGACTGTCTTCCACTACCTCCAACTCCGACAAGTAGAGCATTTCCTCCTGGCTGTTTCAAGATACGACTGATGCGCACCAAGTGCTCCAGTACATATCTACCACCACCAATAACAAACAATTAGGAAAACTGATATGGAACTGTAACCTACTTTTCTCCTGAAGCTACCATCTTGGTGAGCTGATCACCTTTGAGAGAACCTAGAAATGACATGTTTCGCCGTGGAAATGACTGTAGCTTAGTTTTTAGTATTGGAGTACAGAAAGTGAAGGTGTGAAGTGCAATTCCTCATTGGGCTGAGATTTTATATCTCTGTTCCCAGCTGTGACATGACGCAAAATCATCTCTCTCTATAACAAGGTAAGTACATTGGTCACGATATAATGAGAACCTCGCATTGCATTTTTGCAATCTACACCAAGTTAACTACACAAATACGACTAATTCTCAAGCTGTTCAGATGTCTTGCCAAAGTTGACTTTGGCTGTCGACAAAGTCCAAATGTTTACGAATGCAATAAAGACTAAATCATGGCTGACCTGAAGATGACCAAGTTCATCTGTGTCTTGTGTGTCTGGTTGTACTCCTCAAGACACTGCTCCACAATCTTATAAAGTTCGTCAATGGAGTTCACCTCTTGATACATACGATCCTCACCTATCTTTTGGGGTGTAAAATACATACCATTTTAAATTTATTTGTAGTACACAATGCCCAATTCAGAAATCTAATTACCGCATAAACTAGTAAGTTCGAATGCAAATTTTAATTTAAATTCAATTGGAGTCTACTCGATTCTGCTAGAGAGTAATTTAATAGTCTTCTCTCCAGCTTACCACATCAGGATCGAGAAAATCACAGAACATCAAGCTTCTCAAGTCGTCTTCAGATGCCTAAAAAAAAACATAAAAATAGCTCTCTATGTGAATTGTCACACAAATTAACCAAGAAAGTTTCCTGTTTGAAAATCAAGTAATAAATCAAATTCCTCATGCAGATAAAGGACTGTTGAGGCACAGTTACCGTTTTCTGATCAGATGACAAGTGTTTAAATAATGAGTCAAAATCATCCTTCAAATGTTCCTTGGTAACTGTTTTGAGCAAACTGCAAGATAATATAATGAACATAATATAACATCATTATGACATCCAAACAGCAACAGGAATGTAACCGATAGTGAAACAGGACCACACCTGTGTAACCAAGCCCTATCATTATCATCAACCAGACGGTCATAGAACACACGGTACACCTCGTGGACCCACAATCTGAAACAGAAAATAATCCAGGAACATCAAATAGAATTCATCCTCCTTTTTTCGGTCCACATATTTTAGCTTAAAGAAAACATTTTTTGTCTACAAATATCAGAGAAATAACACAAGAAACTTGTCAGCTGTTCACTGACTCTGAAACATACACTTCACTTTGTCAGGTGTCAATCAAGCCCCAGAGAAAGTGCAATTATTTTCACAAAAAGCAGCAAAAGGAAGAGAACCTCACTGAATTTCCTATTTTGCCTTATTGCAATAAGTGAAATAAAACATTATCTAATGAAATTGACCTGAGCAGCATCCAAAAGAAATTTAAAAATACTCCACCTTGTCTGAAATGAAATTGGCACTCATTTCAGGTGCCACAGAGGCAGAGGAAATCAACATAAAAATATCTTATTTTTCATTTGGGGTGCAAATAGCAAATCAAAAAGGTGATTGATTTATTTATTGATTTTCACAGTTTCTAGAGCCAGGTTTTAATAAAAGTAGAATTGCTGGAAGCAGTAAGTGATTCAGAACACCCTAAAGAACTTACTCCTGTAAGTAGTAAATTTCCATTGATTTGCACAAATTAGTAAAGAAAACAAAATATCATCAGATTCAGTACAACAGTCCACATAAGAAAATGATGACCAGCTTCAAAAGCTTGTCCTTCTTGAACAAATTCTCCTCGTCAGTTACATAGATGTCTGGGGAACAGTATGGAGGATAAGCCTACTGAAGAGGTTTCCAATTTATCTTCCTCACTTTCATGTTCTTTCCTCATAGACAAATGTTTTTTAAAAAAGTAAATAATATTCTTTTGCTGGAACTTAATTTTTTGGAGTAAAAGAAAAAAATGAAAATTGATAAAAAATTAAACATTGGATCGTTAGACAACAACAGTTGATTTGAAAGTTGTTTTCTAAGCTATCTATCTTTAATAGGCAAATTGTTTTAGTGATTCTATATGGTTACTTTTTGGTGGGAGTTGATCTGACTTTGTTGCTCTGAAAGGACCATTCAAAAAGGGTCTTGTCTCTAACATCCCCAGAAAAGGAATTGCAAGGTTTCCCTTTAATTTTGAAAACAGTTTTTTCTAATTAGAAATGATTCTAAAACTGAGCACTATTCAATGTACTTAAACTAAACTAAACCTGACACTGAAAGCGATGAAAAGCTGAACGCTTGGAATCTCCTTTCATAGATCACTCTTGCATCACAAAATAAAAGTAATGACCATACAAATGCAACAGCTATAGCTCAGTGGGGGTTTAAGGGTATTGTGTGCCTGGTGTCTCTGGTGAAAGGGATCTGTAGAACCTTGGAAAATGCTAGTCATGCTTTTAAGCAAAACTCTTAATGACATGCACTAACCCATACACAAACTACCAAGCTTAGCTTAACAAATGTGAATGAATCCTTAAAAGTCTATTCTATTACACTGCAAAATAATAGTACCTGGTTCTAGCCTTGATATGGCATGACAGCTCACTCCTATTCTAATTAGCACACTTTCCAGTTATAATGTTCATTTATATTTATACCTGCTTAATGTCTTCTTATCTGCTAGGGCATCTTTTTTGATAAGAAGAACCCCACGGATGACCCTAGAGAAGTCTCTTAAGTTGAATGTGTAGTGTGACTTGGCTGGAGTAGGCAAAAGATTCACCATAGCTTGTTTGTACACCTGTAATTCAAAGAAACAAATTGAACCATCCTTAAAACTTAAAAAGAATTTAGAAACTGTTTTGTTATTAGATACAGCAAAACCTACTGACTGAAGTTGAGATAGATACAGGCTAAAACTAAAAATATATCTAGTTTGCAAACATTTAAAAAACATTTTTTTGGACAGAGCCAACAGTTAGAAAAAAGAAAATAATGATAAAGAGCGAAATCATATTTGTTCCTGACAAAAAAGATGAAATGACTACAGAAATGTGCAGAAGTATGATATTTTCTTTGATTACTTAGGCTAAAAATTCATGCCCTTCTTTGTCTTTTCCTTAGAATAGACTGTATCATAGCAGTTACCAAGGACTCTCACCTTTCCATGATCTTCTTAAAAACCAGATTTTTGGGAGATATCAATGAGTTGCATTTATGATAACAATTAATCTTCTTTTGGAACTGCAGCAAGTTGTTACAAGTAGATCTTAAGTTAATGATAATTTCATTTTTACCTCCATTGTGGCCCCAACTATCATAGTTCCCATAGCATAGACATCATTGGGAAATTCATTGTTCTTTTGGAAAAAAAAAGCAGTTGTGGTTATGTATGTCAAATGATGCCCATTTTGCAATAAGGAACAAAATGACTCTTTTGACTAGCCAACTCACTTGCACTATATTATAGATTGTTTCAATTAAAGGTTTTAAATTAAGTGTGCAATTATTGAAGGCACATATGAAACTGACACTTACTGTAAATTGAGTTTCCAAAACAAAACTAGGGGAACTGTCATTCTGACTGCTGCTTAGGAACCTGGCCTCTAACCTTTAACATACTAAAGTTTAGCTCCTAATTCCTATTTCTATTTCTTGGCGATCTATTTGTATAGTTGGGGGCTTCATAAAAAGGCATTATTAACTCAGAACATAAGTTTTGTTTTTAACCAAAGCTGCATCTGTTTGTGAAGTATGAGTTGTGGCTCCCACCTTTTGGGCATGAATGCAAACAGGTTATTGACCTGTATTTCAAAATGGTGCTTTCTATGGTCTATATTTACCCTCACTTTATGAGTAAATTAATTCATTTCATAGAAATAAAAGATACTTCATTAAAGAGATCATGGAGAAATATTATGGAAAAAAAAAATTAAGTGAAACAGGCATGAAACCCTTACCCTGAAGTAAAAGTTGACAATAGTGGAGAAGATCCTCTGCATTGTGTCATCACCAAATGTGGCAACTGATACTACATTGAAGTGTCGCAGGAAACGAGGAGTGACAGGGTTTCTACCACCACCAGGAGGACCCATTGCACACACAAACTGAAGGTCAATCAAAGTCAATTTAGATGTGTCCTTCCTGTCATACCAATTCCCGTGGTCCAAATACTGACGAAGAAGTTCTATTGGAGGCTGGGCACCATACTTTTCCAGAGCAGGCATATTTACATCATCAACAAAAATAATGAATCTGTAAAAGCAATGAAAATTGAATTCTCTGAGTATTAGTGTGCCACTAGTGTTACTGGGGTAGCTGAAACAAAATTAATGATACACATGAAATGAAAAGACAATGATTCAAGCTAGATTCAAGTGAGGAAATCACTGCTCAAGATCAAAACAAGGAAAGATAAAGAAGAATTGCGATAATTTGTTCACACAGATTAACTTTCAAATCTAAGAATGTTTACTTTAATTACTGTAACAGTACAAATTTCAAATATTGTGGTTTGATTTAAACTGATGATATATAAAAACAAGGTCAGCATCTAAATGAATAAAAAAGTAGATAAGTGAACTGGTACTCTCAAGGAATAGTGTATGAGGTGATTTCTTTCCTTCAGTCAAGGAAATTCTAGAAGTTACTTCAACTTAAAGTAGCTTTATTTTAACTTTTCAGGATGACCAGCATCAGAATCAGATAGTGTAAGATGGGGAATAGTGCCAGAACATAGGAGGTGCAAGTATCAACATTTTACTCATTTTCTTTTTCATTCATTTAGATGCTGACCTTGTTTTTTAAGTAGCAGCAATACCTGACCAAAGCAGTTATAGAAAACAGGCAATGAATCAAACTGAATTCATCTTTATCTCTCCTTTTTTGATCTGGATTTCATACATGTTTTATGCACAGAAGAAAGTTGAACTTATTAATAAATAGCCAACAGTGAAGAAAAGCTGTTTAGTTATCAATCTAAGACATGAAAACTACACTGTGGTGTGCACAACCCCAGATTTGGTGAGGAACATGCTATTGATAATCACTGAAGGATGCAAGAGATTCTTACAAATGCAAGCAATTGAACTGTAATGTGTTAAAAAACAGATAAGTCAGCTGTCATACAATTTTCACACCTTTTTCCAACTGGTGGTCCAAATACTCCCTTTCGCCTCTTGTCCAATTTTGACATGATAATATCCTAATGATGTTTAACAACATTTGTTATCACCTCAATAAGGCATAATTGCTTACTAGGTTATTCATGTGTAATAACACAGTTACTGGATTTGGTCTTTCTATGATGATTGGATTTATCGAGGCTGGGGATCTTATTTGTGAAACCAAATCCAAAAATTGGTAGTAAAACATATTCTAAAATAGAAACAATTTATTTATACTTTCATGTTGATGCCAGTTAGGCCTCTTCGCCTTGATCACATTTTCAAATATCTAAAGAATTTCAGTTGAAAGCAAGACTAAATATATATAGTCTAATTGGGATAAAATGTTGCATTCTTTGCCATTAGATTTGAAAGGAGATTTACTGGTGTCAACAAAACCTGGATCAGACTGGATTGGATCACAGACTGAATTATGAATCAGATCAAGTTCAACCCTGAAGTCATCAGGTCTCTTTACATGATTTACTCATTGCAGTACAAGTATTTAGGTGTTTCCCAAAACCAGCTACGTGAATGAGTGAAATATATGAATAGTGATGTAAATTATTCACCTGAGTTTGATTAGCACTTGTCTGGGCTGAGAAATTTACAAAAGCAGGAATAAACACATCCCTGTTGATACCATTCATGAGTTTGTCCTTGATATAAACTGATTTTCCAGTTCCAGTGGGGCCAACAAGAAGCAGTGGTTTGTTATTGTTAAACATGATCTCCATTAGGTATGAATAGCGTGCTGTGTCCATGGTGGGAACAATAATATCACTTATCTGCTGCCCCTTCCCACCTGCAACACCTTCCTTGATGGTTTTTGTCCATGGAATCCAGTTCCCTCGACCCTTTCTCTAGATAACAAACAAAAGGGAGTTTTCAAGTTTCATCTGCATAACTCAATGTAATGCCTGTAATATACAATCAATCAACATGCTAAATTAATCATGGAGACCTGGGTTTCTGGAAATAATCATTGTTTCAATGACATAGGCCTGGACTGACCCTGGCAGCCAAAAGGAAACAAAACAAATTCACACTATGCTTTGTCGCATGATTTGGTGACCAGTGCATGCCAAAATGTAAAAACTTATAATAGGAAAGAACTTCAAACCTGGCTTATCTCTATTAAAACACTTGTCACCAAGTTGCATGTACAGAAAGACATTAATAAGACACCAAATAAAATAACATCTGCACTAAAACATCAAACCTGCACAGTGAATGTTACTAAAAGCAGAAATGGGGAACGTGGAGTGGGGAGTGGTTAGTGGGGAGTGGGGAGTGGTTAGTGGGGAGTGGGGAGTGGGGAGTGGGGAGTGGGGAGTGGGGAGTGGGGAGTGGGGAGTGTAGAGTGGGGAGTGGGGAGTGGGGAATGGGAAATGGGGAATGGAAAATGGGAAATGGGAAATGAGGAATAGGAAATGTGGAATGGGAAATGAGGAATGGGGAATGGGAAATGGGAAATGGAAAATCAAGAATGGGGAATGAGGAATGGGAAAATGAAATTGAAAATGAAATTTTCCCTTTTTCTGTTTTAGATTTATTTTTTATAGTGAGGAAAAGATACTTTTTCATTGATATTCAAGTTTTCCTTCCAAAATATTCAGAGGCAAAATCCAATGAATGAAATAAATTGATGACAAGAAAAAAAGTGAGCTTCAAGGAAAAGATAATGTCCAAGCGCAAAATAGAGTCGTGAGTGTTTCTTATCCTTCAAATACTTTGCAACACATGAGAAAAAAGTTTACGAACAGCTTACTGTTTTCTGCACAGGATGTTTTCCTTTGAGTTTTCTCTGGTATGACTTTATTAACAAACATAAATTTTCGTTCTTCTATAAAAACCATAAAATGCTCTCTCATGTTAAACCAAATTTTAAACAAAGAATTATTGCAGTGGACATAAGATTTGAAAATTGAGAAGTATCAGTTGGGTATTATCCTCAGATATTTCCCAGTCTTAGCTGAGGAATACTTGTTAAAGTGATGTGTTTAGACAATCCACGCAGGAACAAAAATATTTGATGGATGATAATCAAGGGTATACCCTGTGTGATATTCTCTAATTATCAAGCTCTACGTACATTATGTTAAGTCTTCATTTAAAATTAATTTAAGGTGAGAGAGCCTTTTTTGGTTGTTAAAAAAGAGGGAACATGTTTGTTCATTCATAAAATTGTACCAGTGAACACTGAAAAGTGAACATCCCACCCAGTGTACAGTTAACTGTTCATAAACACTTTTTCCCCGTAATTTGCAAAAAATATTTGAAGGATGATAGACAAAATAGCCTCCATTTGATGCAGAAATATATTTGTCTGTTCACACTTAAAGGATGAGATTACTCATGTTTGGTGGAAACCTTTGGAAGTTCAGGAGTTTTCTGCAAACTTGCCATCAATGTTCATGCAAACTACCATTTGAAACCTGATAGATTCATCATCTGCTCGGCACATCTTTTGGTCATCAAAACAAAATTATTCTTTGACATGATTTTTTATTTTTCAGCAGCCACTAGCTTAGAAACTGATGCAAGTGCTTTGTCTGATCAAAATTTCTCTACTGAGCAAACCTCTCAAACTTTTTTAAATGGAAATTAATCTTTGGGTTCTGAAAAATTCAAGCAATTAACTGCTAATATCTTTGAAAGTTCCAATTTATAAATTTTATAATAAAAATTCAAATTGCCCTTTCATTAACCTCTACAAATTCCATTTAACTTATCACTTATTTCTGAAACCAATAAAAATTTGATTTTACATCATTCTTTAGGTGTCGTGTATCGCTTCTTTTGTTATCATCAATTTATTCTGTTCCTTAAATTTTGCCTTTTAACTTTTTTGAAAGTAAGCATGGATATCAATAATCATCACTAAAAAATTTCTATTCTGTGTAATAAACATAAAATTAAAAAAAGATTAATATACCATTTTCAATTTCCCATTTCATTTTTCCATTCCCTGTTCCCAACTCTGGCTTTTAGTAACATCCCTGTAAAGTCTCTTTTAGATAGTCATTACTGAAAAACACTGAGGTAGAGAGGTGGAAAAAATTGCTATGACTTCATAAAAACATGCTGCTATACAAAGTTTTACAATGCTTCCTTTCAAGCCTTTTTTTTACCTCAAACCCTTTTTTTAAATAAAGCATTCTTTTCTTTCATGAAAGCAGAAAAGCCCAAAGACCCACAGACTTCAAAGGCTACAATATATGCCCTCTCACCTCAAACAAGTAGTCATAAACTAATCCTTCATTTGGAATTGGTGATTCAATCTTGCCCACTATGGAAGGGATAGGACATTCTTCATTTTTGCCTGCCATCAGGTCTTTCAAGTATACATCGAATTTTGCTCTACTATCTGTATCGACACAAGCCCCAACTGACCAAACCATGGAAAACAAGAAAGAGGACTGAAATAGATACAAAAGCACATCCTTAACTTTCTTATATCCACTCAGAAAGAGTTACTTACAAAATGTGTTGGCCCTATTAAAAAGTCAAATAAATAATTAAAAATTATGAGAAATGGTTCATTCTGTTATGGAGTTCAATGTATTTAAATACAATCACTACATGTAAATTGTTGGATAGTTCTTTAATTCTTATTCTAGCCTTTTTCGTGGACCAACACAAGATTGTTGTATTTACAAAATTCATTTAAATACAAATTTTCTATAGGAGGTGCAATTTTGAAGAACTTACCAACTGAATTAATTGCAACTAATTTCAAGAAGTTAAAAATAAATCTGTTTAAATTGGTGGTTCACATTTTGTGTCAAAAAATTTGTCACTTTGAATCTCAAAGTGCACGCAGACTAAATTATAAACAGTTTTTAGATGTCACATTGTCTGAGGCAGTGATACAATTAGAAAACAAAACTTCCATCATACAATGTAAATCGTTGCATGAAGAAAATAAACATGTTTAGCAAATTAAGTCTGCATTTACTAAGAAAAACCGTAGCTTCAGTCTTGAGTACTAGCCCTGCCATCAGCCAACTGGCCATACTCAAGTCTTTGGGCAAAATTTTTTTCAATACACCTTATTCAACAGTTTCACATGTAATATGCACAAATACTTTGCAAATTTCAAATTACGGTTGCATTCTTCAAATTTCAAAAATGGACTTACAATCAACCAAGATTTTGCATATTTGTTATCCTCCTCTGGGATATCCTTCATTAGAATCTCCACCAGGTTCATCAGAGAGTGAGCTAGGTTACTGTCTTGCATGGAAACAGGTTCCTATACATTATACAGTGCAAACTCTCAAAAGGATAACTCAAATTTCTCTAATTCTGTTAATATTTAAGCTGGAAGAGGGAGAACAGGAAGGCAAAGTTTGTAGGGTTAAGAGTATTGAAAGTTTGAAAACATAAGTTGTAAATAAGTTGCAATAGTTGATAAGTTTTAAGAATTTTGTACAAGGGAAAAGTTTTCATCACACCTAGGAAAAATTCCACTTCTCTTTCACAACTACCAATATCTTTCCTTAAAATTAGCCTCAAGGTTAATCTAACAACAAATTAACTCATCATGTTTTACTAATTTGATTGCATGATTTCAAGCTCTTTTAAGTACTACCATTCTCTACAGCAGAGGTTAAATACAGTATGTCTATACATGTATGTATGTATGAATAAATAACATAATATAACATATATTGCAGTTAACTTTTTTCATGGACTACAATTCTCAGAAATAGCTCGATTTTATTTTTTCATGTAAGATATAAAGTAACATACAGGTAATTTCCCTGGAAATTTTGAAGCCAATTAAAGTTAAAAATTGGACTACAAATACAAAATACTTCTGAAAAGACGTGTGAAACTCACCTTGCAATTCTTGCGAACAAAACTGATGCAAGCTGGCAAAGCCCATAGGAAGAGAGCCAAAATAAGTTTTCTGTTTTCATTGTTGAGGACCTCAGGCAATGTGTTACACCAGGATTGTAGCAAAGGTTCCCAGCCTAAAGAGGCTGGCTCCAGGTAGATCATACCACAGCGGCTTACAGTGGCAGGCTACACAGATGGAAGCATTACAGTCTATTATAAAATCTATGCCAAGTTTAAACAATAGCACACCTAGAAATTTTATCTCTCATTTAAGGCCAACTAATTTGTTCACTCTTTAATGAAATAACATGTAACATAATCACAGAACTCTTGAATTTTTCAAATACTTTATATCAAATAGCTCTGATTGGAGGGCTGATTATCAGTAAATATGTCCCCGTAACAATAGAACTGGAATTGCATAGTATACTGTAGTTATAATAGCACCAATAATAATAATAACAATAATAATAATAATAATAAACATTAAAATAACATCCCCAAAGGTTTTTGCAGTCTTGCATCTTGACAGTGCAAGTAAACTATCCAGACAAATTTCCAAGCTTAAGACTAATAGGACAATAAAGACCTCTTTCCAGAACTTAAAGCACAAATATTCAGTATGGCTGAGGTGGTAAGGTATGAGAATCTGATGTCAGAACAACTAAAAAAAACAGAAAATATGTTTCTTGGCATGTCAAAGCCATGGTAGGATTTCCAAACAGGGATCACTGTTCATGCTTAGGGCAATTCACCAGCTTATTTATTTCTACTAGTACTTACAGAGGCCTGTGATAAATCCCTGCATTCAAAAATCAAGCTCATGACATTTGACAACTGTATTATCTCTCCACTCATCAAACACAGCTTGGGAAAAAGAAATAAAAAGCATGAACCAAGGAGAGTCCACTATATTGTGAATAAATTGAATATATCCTTATGGTTAAATAAAATGTAGTTGCTTCTGTCTTTAAAACTATGATCACTTCAATTCACTTCTGTTAAGTATGCATGTAGGTAGTGTAGAGGGAAATTTAAAAACAAACCTTCTTGTTGTCATCTAGAACAGTGTTCATGCTCTCAATCCATAAGGTGTCAATGGGTCCATCAAAAATAACCCATTTCTTTACATCAGTTTGATCTGCTGCATATTCACGGAAAGTGTTTGCAACAATACCATCTGTCCACTATGAAAGAAGTAAAACAAAAAAATCGATTAACAATTCTCAGTGGTTCGTGTAGTGTGATCGTCCGGGTGAGTGTAGTTCTGAAAAGAACTGTTGTTGGTGACTGACGTTTCAACTATCTGTGCGATAGTCATCTTCAGAGTCAAGTGAGGAGTAGTTGTCAGTCGATGATGTTATAAAGTCTGGTCTGTTGAACGTGATTGGTCTGTTTAGCCGTGATGTGATTGGCTGGAAGACTCGTGTAGAGTTTGTTAACAGTCATTGGTCGGTTTCGATCCATCTGTTGTTTGTCGGTCTGTTTGTCAGTTTGTTCACGTCGTTAATGAGTCGTCTGTAAGGTGCTTGTAATTGTTGACATCTGTTGAGAGGCGTCTGTTCTAAGTTAGTGAACCAGCTTTCCAGAGTCAGTCGTTGAAAATAGTTTGTACTGTAGGTTAAGCATTTAGCAGAGTCCCAGTACAGGACTTGCTGTTGAATAACTTTTGCATCACAGAACATGCAGCTACAGTTAACTCATCCATTTTTAATTGCCTTCTGTAACTCAGTCTGATTCTAAATGAACCTCTTAGGCCATTAATCTAAAAGGGATAGCTTCTTTTCCAAAAATAACACTTAATAGTATGTGTAATAAATTTACAACAAAATTTTACACACCAGTTAGTTTAATAGGCCATTTTACAGTTGTGTACTTAGTTGCCAAGCCTTTGATTTGGAGTGAGGCTGAAGGTGACCTTGTTGTGATAGAGACCAGTATCCAATTAGCATGATAACAAAGTAATTTGCATTTGAAAAGCTGCAAGGTTTGTATCATAACAAGGTCACCCTTAGCCTCACTCCTGTTCAAAGGCTTGGCAACTAAGCACGCAACTGTAAATGGACTATTTATTTTGGAGACAACAGAAACAACACTACTCACCTCATGCGAAACTGGGTCAAACTGACCAAATAATTGTCCCATAGTGATAGCTTTAGGGTTTATTACACGAAACCAGACCTAATGAGTAAACAGGTATTGTGTCAACAGTATAGGTAACCTAATACATGTACATTGGGTAAGTGAACCTAGAGACAATGTACAAGCAATTAACTTAACCAGTTAGGTCTCATTTGCATCACTACTGAACATCACCATCACAAAAAAGAGTATATCTGCACATAATCTCTGATTGATCTAGTACAAGTGTATATCAACCATACAATTTGGTAGATATGTGTACACCTTTAATTTACACTCTGCAATGTTGAAAGAGAAAGACTCTAATATCAAGGTTACAGTATATGCTATTCTGAAACAATAAAGAAGTATGTTCATGATCGAAGAAAATCCAGTTAGCTCTTTTACAATTTCAGCAAAGGCTAGACATGAAGAAAACGATACCTCAATTCATTCAGTATGTATCAGAAATGCTTTATTTATTGCGTTACGACTCAACAAGATATATTCCATTATATAAGAGACAACTTTATATCTTTCTAATTGAGAGCTTACCTTGTTAACATTTTCATCATCATAACCTCTATCTGTGAGTACATTTAATGTCTCAGCCAGTACTTGTAATACTTGTGTCTTCCCAGAAAATGGATCCCCCACCATCATGAAACTATGAGATGAAGATAAATATTTTTACAGGGTACCTATAAATTTATTTGCTATTTTACATGGGTTTTTATAATCAAGATTAATAATAGAACAATTGATCTAGAGAATTCACTTCTTACCCATGACGAACAATCATCATTTCATAAGTTTGGATAATCTTTTCACTGAAGAAATTCACCATTTGAAGATTTTTCTTGTCACATATCTAAAAAATAAAGAGGAAAGATATTCAGAGAAACAAATGACAATTTTAGTAAGGTAATAATTTAATTGTATAGACTACCCTCCCGAAAAAACAAACAAACAAACAAACAAAACTAAGCAATGAAGGAAGACAAATGATTACATCTTTCTTGCAACATGATATTTCAACAGAGAGACTAACCTCTTTTGCAGTGTCAAGGAAGGTGCCATAATCAGCTTTAGGGAGAGATACCCCAGGAAAAAGGTCAGAAATGATCCCTTCGAATAATGGAATGTCATGAGAGAGAAACTTGGGTAGATTGACATCCATTATCGAACGCAGTAACAGGACATTTTCATCATCTGATGGATACTTGAGTTTCAGGTTGCCAGCTGCTGCCAAGACAGCCTTCACAGCTCGCATACCATAGTCATAGTGGAACTGGGAAGAGAGCTATTGATAAACAGATAAATAAATTCGTTTTTCCCTCAAATGCAAACACTTTGTACAGTGTTATGGAATGTCTTCCTCTAATTGATTTAAAAGCTAGGAGAAACATTCAATGTGAGTGTCATTGTGAATATAGTCTTGTAAAGAACTGTTGTCACTGGAAATGAATAATGTTGTAATCAACTGAGCAGATGTTATCTATATATATATATATATATTTATATATATATATTACACTAACCTGCTCTGAGCACAGTTTGTAGGTAGTAACTATTTTAACTGACAGATTGCGAGCATCTACAAATCCATAGGAGTACAACATGATTTCCCCAATCAATGCATAGTCTGGTACCATCATGGCTACAGTACGAAACAGCACCTAAAATGACACCATTTCAGTTTAAAACATGACCAACAATTCCAACTCTTGCATCATTTGTTAATATGAGAGCTGAGCTTAGCTGCATTTTGGGGGCCTTTCTTGATCTTTTGGTCAAGGAATTAACTACACTGTATCTACATACTACTTTAGAGTTTGAAATGTTTTTATTTGTTTTCACGGTCAAGAATGTGTGGAAAAATGAAGTGTATACATAAACGAAAGATGGTAAATTGTCATATGAAGAGAGATTGGGCTTCAACCTCAACTTCTTTCAAAGTAGCCTTTGGCAACCTATAATCATAAAAATAATGATGACCATAGGAGAAATATTGGTCGTTAAGAAAACACAAAACAAATATAAATAGTGAGCACATAATCACAAATTCTCTCTCCAAACAATTTAACATAAACATGGTGACATGTGCTTATTCTACTAAGAAATGTGCAACATGAAATGTCAAGTACTATGTACTAAATTGTACATAAACCAATGGAGTGTTTCCTTCCAAACTATGAACTAATTACACAAACCTCAAGAGACCATGCATACGTTTCATTATACCTTGAGATTGTCAGGCAGTTCTGATCTCCCTGCATAACCAGGATTCATGGTGATTGCCACAAAACAGTTTGAGTTAAGGTTCAGTTCTGTTCCTTCAAACACAAACTTGTCCTGATGAGCTGCTATACCACGCTGGATGCACAAAATCTAGAAGAAGAAAAAACTTCTGAGATTACATATTAAAAAAAACTACAACAAAGGAAAATTTTGAAAACACTGTATGAGGAGAAGTTGAGAGGTTTCATGTCAATGCAAAGAAATAACAAACAATTACTACAATGGAACCTGAAAAAGCAAATATATTTTAATACTTACATTGTTACTTATTCAGACATAATGAGTAAATAGAACTGATGTAGTGGTGGTCTGAGAACTTGCAACGTTTTTTAATTTGAGGGGTAAGGACAAACCACAAAAAGCTTCAACAGCCCTATGAGTAAGTTTCTTTACATAAAAATAACTGATAATAACATCAATACCTGTTGAGCTACCACAGACAGAACTTCCAACTCAATGCGATTAAATTCGTCAAAACACGCCCATGCACCACAGGATGCCAACCCTTTAAAAAACTTTCAAAAAGTAAAAAAATGTCAACATATAGAAGAACTATGAAAGTTTAGACATTAAGATATCTTTAACATACTTTGCCCATTTGTAAGTAGTCCAAACCATCAGAGCAGTTGAACACCACACACTGTATTGCAAGGGCCTTTGCTAAGTCCTACAAGAGAAAAAACAAATGGATATAGAGAAATTTATTAGTTAGCACAAGGATCAGACACAGTACTATTGATGGTAAACCAGAATTTAATACTTCAGTTAAACCTTGGTGGTCTCTGTCTTGCCAGTACCAGCTGGACCTTCTGGTGCTCCTCCAAGGTTCAGGTGAAAAGCACTGACAAGTGTGCGGTAACAACGGTCTGTCAGTGGTGTAATAACAAGCCTAGGAAAAGAAATCCATGACTATAATCATTTTCTTCATGTAGTGTACAGCAAACTATGACGTGTACCTAAGAATATTTGAATAGCAGACAACATTGTTTTTACCTGCCAGAGTTGCCCAGGTACTCATATCCATAGCGCACAGTTGCATTGATGATTCTCACCAAACAATTGTCCTGTTCCCAGTAATAACGCATCTGGCACAACCACTGAAAGTCATTTTCCTGAGAGACACCTGCCAGATATGAAAATTTCATGAAGATAAATGCAAGTCTTGTTGACAATTGCTAACCTCATATTCAATACACATGTGGAAAAGTAATGCAGTTGAGTCTTCTGGAAGCTCATAACTGTTTAATAATCAACCAGGGTCAGGCTACTGAAACACTAAACTGTACACCATAGTTGGTGTTTGATTCACAATGTTCATCAGCAGACATGTCTACTACTTTACCCAAATTTTCATTTGCCAGGATTAACTTAATACCAATGATTGATGGATAATGTTTGTAGGACATTTCATTGGCCAAACAATACCTACAACCACAATATCCATGAGAGGTTTTTTGTCTTTTTTGATGTTCTATCAAATATGTTTAAACTCTGGGGTCTTGCTTTTGTTCATTACCAAACAACATCAACATAGGAATAGTTTACAACCTTCTCGCATGGATATACACTTGTTATACATGTATTGCCATAATAAATACTAATTCTGGGATTAGCAAATGACTTAGGAAAAATCATAAACAAATATACCTTTCTCTACCATATCATGTACCACATCTCTTGCATGAACATCAATTACCACAAGAGCTCCGAGGGTGGTCCTGTTCTGCTTTGACAGCTTACCACGAACAAGGACCACAATGTCTGAAAGCTAAATAAATTTAAAGTGATCAACTTAAAAAACTGCTACGCTTAAATAAATTGCCATTCTCAGATTGTACAAAGCTAAAAACTAGAAACAACATCATGAAATGCAATTCCAAGAAGAAAAGTTACTAATTCTAATCAGCACATTCTTTCCTTTCACCATAGGTAGTCTATCATTGCTGATATCAATTTTGAAATATTGTTACTTTGTAGACTTTTACCTTTATCATTAATCTTGTTTCATTAATTGGAGATAGGTCAAAATGAGAGTGAAAAGCAAAAGGATCATCATATTAAAATAGGAAAGCAACCACGTGATAAATTCTGCCTCACGTAGTCAAAAGAAACCATAGTGAAAATGGCCCAGAGTTCAAATGTCCTGTAGTAACTTGTGCAAGTTGTAGCTACAGAAATTCTTTTTGAAATAGTAAATACCATGGGACATCTATTTTGGGATATCTTAGATAAAATGGGCACTGCCACTCAAAGGACTTCATATTAATAATTTTTTAGTTATTAATATGTAGTCTGAAAAATGTACAGTACTCATTACACCAAATTTCAAAAGAAACCATGTTTAACAATTGGTTCATATGTCAGCGTACATTCATTGAGATATGAAGCACGCAAGAAGTTTTGAGAGCACGAAAGATGTGTAAGAGTTGCTCAAGGCTACGCCTCGAGCAACTCTAGCTTCTTGAGTGCTCTCCAAACTTCCCAAGTGCTTCATATCTCGGTGAATGCACAGCTGATGTATGAACCAATTGTTTTATAACATTTTCAACCTGTTGGAAATTTTTTCTAGAGGGATTTGTTTGCTGATGTCATGAGCGTGCACAGTAGGAATATGAAGCACACTCACGCAGTTGAATTTGATTAGATAAATTTACAAGCTATGTTATAATATCATTTTTACTGATGTAAATGAAAAAACATCACAAAAAGTCTAGGCAGATGAAATTTTGAAAGCATGGATGCACTTTGTAATTTGTACTCATATTACAACTTTGCACTAGCTTTACATGAGAATACACTTGTTTCCAGCCGATCAGAAGAGCATTAGCTTTTCAAGTACCAAATTAGTTGTTGTATTTTTAGTTGTATTTGTATTTGCTTTCATATTCGTTTTCTCATTTGTTTCTGTATTTGTAATTTTATTTGAATTTCTACTGTTTTTGTATTTGTATTTGTACTAGTATTAGTACTTGTACTGACGGTAAAGAATATATGAAGGTCATATATTTGAACTGCGGATAAAGACATGAATGAAAGTGATCTTCGCAGTGATGTGCACTACTTAGGCAGTAGTGAAAATAAGGCCTGAAAAAAATTCAGGCCTGTACGGGATTTGAACCCATGACCTCTGTGATACCGGTGCAGCGCTCTACCAACTGAGCTAACAAGCCAACTGGGAGCTGGTCATGATGGTGGTAAGGCCTGAATTTTTTTCAGGCCTTATTTTCACTACTGCCTTAGTAGTGCACATCACTGCGAAGACCACTTTCATTCATGTCTTTATCCGCAGTTCAAATATATGACCTTCATATATTCTTTACCGTCTATTCGTCACTTCACGGGTTTATTTAGAACCACCATCATGACCAGCTCCCAGTTGGCTTGTTAGCTCAGTTGGTAGAGCGCTGCACCGGTATCGCAGAGGTCATGGGTTCAAATCCTGTACAGGCCTGAATTTTTCTCAGGCCTTATTTTCACTACTGCCTAAGTAGTGCACATCACTGCGAAGATCACTTTCATTCATGTTCAAGTACTTGTACTCTTAAGTATATTTGAACTGGTATTTCTCCATCTGTTTTTTGGTCACTTTACCTTTGTACTTTCCTTTGCCTTTAGATTTGCATTTGTATTTGTTTCGTAGTTGCATTTGCTTTCATTGTTGTGTTTGAATCTGTATCTGTATTTCTATTTGCTTTTGTATCCGAATTTCCATTTATTTTTTGTGTTTGTTTTTGTATTTATTTTTGTATTTATTTTTATGATCTTGTTTTTGTATTTGTATTTTTTTAGGGGGCAATTTAAGTGTTTTGTGTTTCAGATGGATTTTTATTATTTTTTAGGGTTGTGCAGTTCAAGTTTTATTTTTTATGAGTTTGATCACATTCTTTTGTTTTGTTCATTCTTTGACTTGACCTGTTGAGCTATAAGGAATGATGAGTGAATTGGTTCTATTCAAATTGTTCTTACTATTGTTAAATGTTTAGCCAAAATATTGTATTGTGGTCATTGAATATAAAATATTATAGATAGGGTTTTTACGTGGGTTTTAGAGCATATTTATGCATAAACTTTTCATGTTTAACCATTTCTAATTTATTCAAGTTCTATTACTCTAGTATTTCAAAACAAATTTAGAAAAGCCACAGTTGTACACCTGTATGTCAATGCTTTGATGACCATTAATGTTGAAATTGCATGTGAATTTAAGTTATAATTATCTTTCTGGAAAATTGCTTCTCATGGAAGTTGGCAGCTGAGTTTGTGCTTGTAAGTTTGCTTTCCTTTCATGGGATAATTTTCTCACATTACCACTTTTCCAAACTTAGCATCAACCTTACATAAAAAGGCAAAAATCATTACTACTTCTCACTTTTATTTCCTTGGTAGTTCTACTGCAATAGAGAGGTTTTTAATATCAGAGCTGTGAATTTTGACTTAAGTTTCATCTTTTAATTGCCTACAGTCTATTGTACCACTGTCAAGTGGTCTCTACAAGCTATTTTCCCTGTTATTGTTGTGTTCCCTGCAAATGTCCAGTTAGTACAAAAAACTCGTTGCAATTTGTATTTGTGTTTGTTTTTGCATTGTATTTGCATCTGTACTTGTATTTGCACTTGTGTTTGTTTTTGGATTTGATTTAGATTTCATATTTGTTTTTGTATTCGCTTTTGTTAAAGTATTTGTATTTATTTTTGTATTTGTTTTCGTGCTTATTTTTTTTTTTGTATTTGAATTTCTTCCTTGTATTAGTATTTGCATTTGTACGTGTATTTACACTAGTTTTCATACTTTTATGTTTCTGTATTAGCATTTGTATTTGTTTTTGTATTTGCTTTGTATCTGCATTAGTATTTTCTTGTATTTCTGTTTGTTTCTGTTTTTGTTTTTTTATACTTATATTTGTTTTTCCATTTGTATTTGTAATGTGTCCTTGTATTTGTTCTTATCTTTGTTTCTGTATTCAGATTTGCATTTGCTTTTGATTTGTATTTGTTTTCACATTTCCATTCCTATTTGTATTTTTTTGTTTTGTGTTTGTTTCTGTTTGAGTATTTGTATTTTGGTACTTCTATATGTATTAGTTTTTGCATTTGCATTTCTACTTCTATTTGCACTTGTATTTGTACTTGTACTAGCTCATACTTTTATTTGTTTCTGTATTGGCATTTGTATTCTTTTTTGGGGGGTGTTGTATTTACTTTGTATTTTTGTACTTTTTTTGTATTTCTGTTTCTTTTTTTATACTTATTTGTTTTTCCATTTGTATTTGTGATTGTATTTGTATATGTACTTGTATTTGTACTTGTAATTGTGTTAATATTTGGATTTGCTTTTGAATATGTCTCAGTAATTTTTTCCATTCAGTCTTTGCATTTGTTTTTGTTTGGTTTTGTATTTTTATCTGGTTTTTGTATTTGTACTTGTTTTGGTACTTTTATTTGTTTCTGTATTTGCATAAGTATTCGTTTTTGTATTTTTGGGTGTTTTTGTATTTGCTTTGTTTTTGCATTTGATTTCTTTTTTGGATTTTTGTTTCTGTTTTTTACTTGTATTTGTTTTTCCATAAGTATTTTTAATTGTATTTGTATATGTACATGTGTTTGTACTTGTATTTGTTTTTGTATTTGTATTTGCTTTTGGTTTTGCTTTTGTATTGGTTGCTCTATTTTCTTTTCTTCCTGTCTTTCCATATGTTTTAGTATTTGTTTTCGTATTTGTTTTTGTTTATGTTTTTGTATTTGTATCTTTTTGTACTTGTATTAGTCTTTGCATTTGTATTTGTACTAGTATTTGTACTTGTACCCCTACTTGTATTTGTTTTTGTATTTTTATCTGGTTTTTGTAGTTGTACTTGTGTTTGAACTTGTATTTCTCTTTACCAGTCTTTACGTCATTGTGTATGTTTTCGCATTTGTCTTTTTCTTGTATTTGCAGCTGTACTGGTATTTTTATCTGTATTGTACTTGTATTTCTGTTGCACCAGTAGTAGTCTTTGTATTTGCATTTTTCTTTTTTCTTTGTTGTTCTATTTACATTTATCTTTGTATTTGTATTTCTACTTCTTTCTCTATTTGCATTTGTATTTGCACTGTTATTCATATCTGTCTTTCTATTTGAATTTTAAATGGTATTGTTTATCATGGAGGTATGTTATTTTCATTGTTGGTTAACTCTGCCATGCCTTTAATTCCCTGAATGAGAGTGTTAGCGTATAGTAAATAAAAATTGGTCGCATTAGTGTTCAAATGATGTCACTCATAACTATATAGGTGCATTACTTGTTGGGTGAGCTTCTCATGGTATTCTTTCAGTCCATGAGGTCCAGAGCGAATAGCTTCATGCACCTCTTGAGTCCAATATATCTGGCTCACACAGATAACAATCTACAATAAAAAAATCAGACAGAAAGATTAAAGAGTTTAGTGCTAAAACAGATAGTTTGTGAACAATTTATAAAATTAAAATAAAATAATCAATTATTTCTATTGAACACCGGAACAAACTCTTTTGAATGACTCTTATTACATGTAATTCTAAAAACCATGCCATTTTATCTTAGACCTTATTCATCTCATCTGATATTTATGACAAATAAGCTGTCTAAATAAAAAACATTGTTCAAATATATGACATAAATTTATAATTTCTTTATAAAAATTAAGAGCTTTGGTATGTTAGGTTTGTGGTGAAAAATATCAATAAGTGCAACTTAGACAAAATCCTAGTGGGAAAATTGCATTTGGTATGAAAAAAGACAGCGCTCGTTTCCTTCATTGAATTAATGGTTCCTCAGGTTTCTGTTAAAGTTCATTAATACCCATTTAAACTATGTATTATGGATGGAAAGATGCTCTCAGCATGAAGAGCTTCTTTTCATGCATCGCAATGACCATAACAATATTGACCTTGAGGGAAAAATAGATGACTTCCTATAAATTTAAATCCTGGATTAGAAAGTCAGAGGCAAGAATGAAAAAACCAGATGAATATGACAATGAAAGTATTGTTTTCATCTCACCTGTCCAGGCCAATTCAACACCCACACTTTCCTGTCATCTGTTGCATATGCCTTAAAATAATTAGAATTTTTGGAATGTTAAAACAAAGATTTATGGTTGCAAGTGAATAATAAAAGATCATCAAGCCAAACCAAAATTCATCTTAGACACAAAATAGAAAAATAAGCAAAAATTTAAAAAAATATACCTGGACAGCTCGTTCAATGATGTCATGGATGCTGATAAGCATGATATCCTGAACCTGAAGCAACCATTTTTCCACTGCACCTCGTGCTTCTGATGTGGATATCGTATCACTGAGAGGAACCTGATGGAAAACACTGTAAGTATAGGGAGCAAAACAATCTTTACTAGCTGTAAAAATGCAACAATGATTAATTGGATTGTATCAAGATATGTATACCACGATGAACCAAATAGGCAAGGAAAATTTCCCATATGCATAAAATGTCTTGTGCATGTAGCATAACTTTTCAGAAAAAAAGTACATTGTACCTTTTCTCCTTCACTGCTGTACATGTGTGTAATATCCAAGGCAGAAGTAAACTCTAACTTTGCAATTCCTTCAAAGCATTTCTTTAGATGTGGCTGAACTCTGTAAGGATCCTTTGTTTCTGACAAAATCTCAAGCATCTCATCATTTGACAAAAAGAAAAATCTGTGACAAAAATCAGAGTACAACCTTTTAAAAATGAAAAAAAAGATTTTGATCAAATATGTTGTACTATCTAACAAACATTTTCTATTTGATATATGTGTAGAGCAGGTTAACAATTATTAGATATCAATTGCTACAAAGAAATACTATAAGTGAGGAATTAATGTTCCAAATAAAAAAGATACAGAGTTTCAGCATTCATACAGCACTTATTTAGTAACAGAAAAAGGATGAGCTTTGATCAGAAATATTGCAATTTTCAATTATTGTGTATTATTAGCCAGTATACCCTGCTTTTCTAATAAAAAGTTGGTTTTATAGACCATCATAGCAGATACTCAAGAAAACCAATGCAATCTCTGAGAACTTTCAACAATCACTTGTAACAAAAAAATCTTTCTAGCACAGTTTTTGGTGATAAGAATCTGGCTTTGTAAGTTTCTTGACATTTCTAACTATAAAGGCGTTTACTATGAGTGCAGGATTCTAATCAAACTGTTATGCATCAGTGAAGATTAAAAAATAATATATAATTTTATATTTTAACAACAAAACTGTAATATTGTGCATTGGATGTTGAGCCTGACTAACCTGGAGAAGAAAATTCTCTTCTTTTCTAAATAGGCATTTAGTCCTTTGTTGATCTGGTCAAGCAAGTCATTGCTGTCTTTTAATCTTTCATACATACTTGGCATTGATGTAGCTGAAAGCACCTACACATCATAATAGTGCAATATTAATAACATTTGGTTACTTATATATATGCACTGAATTCACTTACACAAATGTAAAACTGCTCTAAAATACTTATGCAGACACATATCACTTAAAGTTAATAAGACAAGAAAAAATACATTTAAATGTACATCCAACCTGAAACGCAAAATATAATGCAACTTAACTGAACTAGACATCACATGTTGTCTACCTTAGGATCTTTGCACACATAATTCATAATGTCTCTCCAGTTCCTGTCAACAGTCTTAAACTTGCGTCCTTCCTCTGGCATCTGCTGCATTATATCCTCGGAACTGAAGATAGGCTCCAAGTAAAGCCACTGTGCTTGAACTTTAAGCCACTCATCAATTATTTCCTGCATCTTCAACAGGCGTTCTTCCCACGACTGCAAACCAAACAATGTAAGACATGTGATTACAGTACAGATCAATTAAAAATTTTGAACAAAGTTATTTTAATGAGCATTTTAAGTTGTCAATTGATTTAGGATGAAAAGTACAATTTTTTCTACTATTAAATCAGAGTATAATATAACATACGGAATATAACAAATTTATGTGATTTGAAAGTATTCTATGTAAATCAATGCTATGTTTCTATCAAGCAAATCAATTACAGGACAGAACCATGAAGGTAAAAGAATGTCATTAATTGACATATCATAGACAGACCTTTATTTCTGCCTCAAATGGTTTTATGAATGGAGATCCTCTCATGGTCTGGGTCTTGACAATTTGATCATCAAGAGTGGTTTGTATTTCATCAACAGCAGCCAGGATAGACACACCAGTGTCTCGATATTCAGTGGTATTAAACATAACACTGTCCCATTCATCTACCATCTTCTGCATGGCTTTCTCCAATGAAAATTCCTAAAATGCACAGAGATAAGCTGTATGACCATTACCTCGTAACACTTGAATTCTTACTTTTTTAACACTTTTGAGATTGTGGCCCAACTAATGATTATCTCTCTGTAGTGTAGGCCTTTACTGTGAAAATGCTATGATCCGATAACTCCATACATCTACTTTTTTTAAAGTTGACTGCAACAGCTATGTAAAAGAAATGAAATAAGCCAATTATCAATGTTCATTTGCATTACAAATTTATTAATAACTATGAATATATCAATATCATTTATTTGTATTCCTCCTAATCTTTCTTAGTTCTCCTAATTCCACATTCCTCAAATCACAAGCTTAACTTTGGATTCTGTGTTTCAGCCAATCTAATTTCCAAGATTTTATAACCACATTGGGACCTTCCACAAGAAAACATGGAGTTAATGTAAACTCATGACACATATATCATAATATGGCATGCTAAGCACATCAAAAAATGGCAGATGTGCTAATGCGTACATCTTGCATGTCAACACAAACATGATGCAACATCTGTGTCTTTGTTTAAGCAGCTTTTTAAATAATCTACTGCTAATTATAAATCAATTCTCACTTTTAACATTAAAATTAACCAAAGCCTAAGTAAGAAAGTACCATTACAGTGGTAGAATCAAAGTAGCTAAAAATTCTGTTTACCTTACAGTATTTTGTCTTACCTTGCTAGCCCCTACACTGATGCCCTCAAACTCATCCATGAATGGCCTTAAATTGAACTTGAGGACCTTACGTAATGTGCTTCCAGAGTCTGGAGTGATGTCAAATCCAATGATGTCTGACATGGCCTTCCAGTGCCGAGAACGAATTCCAGGGTTACACATAACACTTATAACAGGAATGTGATCCTAAATAAAAACGATTAGTGATCATTAAATGAAAAAGATTTAACTGTTTACAAGATATTTCCTTTAGAAGTATATATAACAGTAAAAAAATACACATGGGCATGGCATGAAGAGTAATTTTTAGCAGCAAGGGTTGTTGTGGTAGGACAGTTATCCTCACTTAAGCTCATCTTTTCCAATTCTTAAAGGTGATGTAAAAAGCAATTAATTTTATACTTCCTCAGTTGCAACATAAACAAAAATGAATGAACCTTTGGTAAAATAATTATTTTGAACAGGTGCTCTGCAATTGACTAGGGTTAAGCCAAACAAAAGTATCTCCAATGCAATTATCTGTTTAAGAGAAATCACATCATTGTTAGCTCCCTTTCCAAGAATTCTTCTGCTGGTTAATTAAAAAAATACAGGTCATAATAGCTTACCTTAAATTCCCTGATCTGTTGCTGTACTGCATGAGAAACCACTAAAGCAGCTATTTCTGATCCTGGCTCCTCTTTCTCTTTGGAATCCTTAACTCTTCTGTTACCTTTCTTTTCTTTCTCTGCCTCTTTCTTCATTGCTTGGAACACTTTTGTAATTTTGTACATCTCACGACCATATTCCTCTACCTTAAAGATAAAAATTAACAAGAGAACAGTTTGATTAACTATTTAGAAAAGTTTGCTGACCACTAAGAATAGTTTCATGAAACATGAAAAGTGGAAAAGGTTCATTCCTATTTTCTATCTTTTCTTACCTTTTTAAAAGAGTAAAAAAATTCAATATTGCACCAGTTGAAAAATACAAATTTCAAAACCACAATAACTTTCCAACTTCTTGAAATTTATTTCTGGTGGTGCTGATTCTGGAAATCATTCTGTGCATGGCTGACAAGGTTATAAGGGCAAACGTTTCTGCTTTAACTGCCTCCATACCTCTGCTTCTGTGGCTTCAGCATTTAACTCAAGAAAAGCTCCATCCATCCATTTTTTCTCAGCTCTTTGCCATTTCACAGTTGTTGTAAACAGCTTTTGGTAAGGCTCAATAGCTTTAGTAATGGATTCTACGTCAGGATAAGATGTTTGCTCCCATTTAAATAAATCCTCTTCCTAATAATTAAAAAAGGAAGTGATGGGTTAGTTTTGGAGAAGTAATTAAACCTAACAACCAATATCAAAGGTGATATTGTAATGGTTGTTCATTCTCTCACTCCCCTATTAGATACAGCCTAGCAAATGTGGAAGAACACAGTTTATTTGAAATTCCATGATATAGTCTAACAGCTTGTAAGCAATTAATAGACTTCTTTTGCAAATCACTGCCTTGTTGTTTTGTAGCTTTTTCGCCAAATGACTTCTTGTTGCCTCCTTTTAGAGGGTATTCTCAAGAGAAGCTATTAAAAGCAGAGCTCGCAGCATGTACAGCAGACTCAGCGTAGCCCCATAATTATACAAAATAGTAGTAACCCATCAAGTCAAAAGAAATTTGGACTTGACACCATGTGGGAGTCTATGCAAGGTGCATGCGTGGCTAACTGCATTGCGGGCACTATCTTAGCCATTACATAAAGGAAAGAGAAGAAGGTAATATGCATGTGTGATTGCATGTGTAAGGATACCCCATTTGTGCCAGGAGACACAGGCAGATCGCAATGAAGTGCGTGTACTTAAGTGCCGATTTTTAGTGCAGCATATGCCGGGCACACAGTTACGCATTACAGATGGGGTTCACATGGGCTAGTAGATGTGAGGCCACATAAGCAAATAATTTGCAACACGCATTTTGAGCAAGAAATCAAAGTAGGTGAGGTTGTAGTTGAACAGTGATTCTCAGTATTTTGCAATTTTTAATCAACTCACAAAGCAACAATACCGGCAGAGCTAAAGCTTTGTCAACCGCAGGAAATTGTTATAATTCAAGTTCGTGGAGAAAGGGTTTCCAGAAAACAGACTGGAAAGGGGTCATCAACAAAGAGAAGCAAACCACAAAGGATCTGAGAAAGAAGAGAAGGTAAGTCATGTCTCATTTGGGTCTTCTCTTATATGCTAAGGCCCAGTCTTCCCAATCTTTGTTTGATGCTAGCTTCAGTTTATAATTCAAATCATGTTTCAGTAAAACATTGACTTTTGCATTCATTGCTTTAAAACCCTCATGCCAGTTCATTGCTCGAATAACATTTCAAAGTGTTCGTATTCTTAAAATTATTTCCTGTCCTACCTTTTGGAATGTTTCATACAGTCATGATTATGTCTTGCCTAGAAAATTTTAAAATGATAGTGAACGGCATGAGCAAGTCTCTATCATTCTCTCTTCAGTTAGCTATCATGTGGTTTACATTATTCATTTAAGAAATGACGCTTTGTCAAAGATTTGTTGTTTTACCCTAAGAACAAAGTAATAGCCTTCCCCAAGATTTAAATATATTGAGATTGAGTCAGTGATGTGTGCATGTTTACATTAAGTTTGATGCGGTAATTTTATTTTGAAAATATTGTCCTGTGAGAACCCATCTGAGAATTAAATTGTGAGTGCAAATTTGTGGTGTAAACAAACTCATGGGTAAAATGGCGTTAATCCTACTGTGGGAAGAGTGAATTTCATCGTTTGGTCATGGTACTTTTCAGCGCTATGTTTTCATGCTTTCTACACGATTCATTCGAACTTCATGAAATGGTTTGTCTCCCAAAGCATGGAGCCTTGATATCTGGAGGTGTACTTAGTGCTTGGGTTATGGTGAACGTGCTTGCAATACAATTATTTTTTCCTAATGCTGGAAACTGAGGAATCAATCTCTAAAATTGATATTCATCACATTTTGCAAGAAGCGTCCAAGCTGTGATTGTGTAATTAAACAGGGTCCTGGCAATTTGAGCTCACAAGCATGCTGGTAAGTACATGGTTGGCGTAAATAATTGTTGTTTACAGTTGTCGAATTCGAGTTTTTGAGATTCTGTTTCTGTAACCTTCCTGGATATTTTCTGTTGAATATCATTGAGGTGCAATATCGGAATTTTGTGAGTGACTATGACTGATAAATTCGTATTGGCACCATAATTTTGGGGAGTTTTGTAAACACATTATCAGGTTACAATTCATGAACCATTTCTGTAACCTGCAACCTGCTTGGATATCTTCTTTTGAGTTAATTGAGTCACACTCTCAGAATTTCATCAGTAATTAAGAACGATAAATCCATATATGTAGCACTAGTGAAGCACATTTTAAACTCTCCATATGATTTTGGGAAACTATACTTGGTTGACTCTCGATAAATTGGCCTGGCATACCTCATTGATTATTTTATTATTTTATGGCCCCAATAGCCCGGCTTATGACTCTGGAGGTACTGAACTTGATATAATTGATACATAAGGCATCCTTCAAGGAGGAAGGTTAGAATAAAATTACTTTAAAATTACTGTACATTGCACCCAGTTTACATATGTAAATAATTGCTTAAATTTACCTATTGTAGCTGTATTCAGAAGCATAGACATGTTATATGCAAGAGGTTTGTTTTTATGCAACATATATCCATTCCATCAATTTCCTCCTTAACCTGGCTGCAAATAATTAAATTTTATGTTTTAGTTGAAGTGACTGGGAGGATAAAACAGAAGCGTTGCAGAGCTCTCTTTCCAGACTGAGTTTAGGTGAGAACATCAGTATAATTTTCTAGATAATGTCATAAGCTTTTCCTGACTGTTTAATTTTATCCCCCTGGTGTTTTTGCACAAAGCCTCTTTTTATATCAGTGCACCTGCTAATGATTAAAATCTCAGTGAACAGATATGCCATATTTTAGTAGTTTTTTAAAATTACATCTAAGTTTTTGGCATTTACTATTTTAAAATTCATAAATGGCATTCCCTTTTCATCATTGTAAAAAGATATTACACATTTCTTTTATTAAAATCTGAAACATGAAGTCAACTTAATTTCAATGAGTTTGAAACTTCACTCTACATAAGAACACTTTACTGGAGTATAATGCTATATTTATTCAAAGTCTTTCTGGTACATATGATTACCACATGTGTCTTAACCCCTTAACTCCCAAGATTTCATTAGTAATTCTCCTTACTGTCTGCCATACAATTTATGTGATGTTAGTTTGAAGAATTTGGAATTGGATCGACCAACAATCCCCTAATTGATATTTTTCTTTATTTTCATTACTTGTCTGCTTTATATCATATTGATAGTGTAAGGAGAAATTCTATCAAAGTCATGCTATTGTAATGATTAAAATATTCTTATGCTTTCATATGTAACAAAAAAAAGTGTGTGTGAACACGATGTTATGAAACACTTACAATGGAAAAGCCTGTTGCTGGTATAGCTTATGTCTTTAATGTTTAAATTCTCATGGGAAATGCTTTTTTTGAAAGCGAGGATACAGGAGTTTTCAAGGACAATAAAAAAAAGCTGTTTGCAAGTAATGAAAGGCATATTGACAACCATACTTTAATGCTTAACATGCTTCACTCAAAAATGTTAGTTGTGTGTACCTGCCATAAAGAGGTGTCTTTAAAAACATTTTTTTGGTGTGGCTATTGTTCTTTGTTGATCTTTGTCGTCTAAAAAGCTACTAAAGGCACTGAAGTTTTTCATGTACATGAGGCACCCTCCAAGGTGGAAGAGAAGAAGACCATAGAATGATGCTCACTAGGCACTTGCACTTAACACAATCACATATTCAAGCAAAACTCTACACATATAAAACTGATTATATGATGTCTCTTTACATCCCAACATCAGTATGCATATTCTCCATACTGTTCTCTACACATTTCCTAATGTGCTGGTAAGGAGAACTTGTTTAACAATCGAGAGGTTCTTCAGTTGATTATCATTTCCTTTATTCTCATTACTTAATGTTTGATTCAGGGGTGATTTTGAAAGGATAAATTAGATGCTAGTCATTCTCAGTGATTAAAGGGTTAACAACTGTACATATTTTACAAGCTTCTTGCATTTGTTAGCAACAATACAGTGTAGTTAAGATTGTTAGGAAAGCAAACAAACAAATAAACAGAAGACAATGAAATGAGGGAAACTGTAAACTTTACCATATGATAGAAAAAACATCACAGAATACTTAAGAAGGGAAACTTGAATTGCTCTGGCTAGTTTTCTTTAATGCCCTTCATGTTTTTGATCAAATAAAATTTAATCAGTCATAGGATTTGCCTTCAATGTGTCATATTACCAGTGTGGACTTGATTCTTCTCATAATTGTCAGCTGGTAAAAGATAGATACTAAACTTAGATGTCCATGAGAAAAAGTACCCATCATCAAAAAATCACACTTGCACCTTAACATTATTATGCATATTCTCCATACTGTTTGTTCTCCATACATATCCTAAGGTGCTAGCAACAAGAATTTGTTTAACAATCAAGAGCATCTTTAGTTAGTGATCATTTCCTTTATCCTCATGACCTTAATGTATGATTCAGGGATGATATTGTAGAGAGAAATTCGATGCTAGTCACTCTAATAGGGGTTACAGGGTTAATTAGTGGTGTAATTTATTTGTCATATTAAGAAAGACAGAAGCAGTAAAAACACATTGAGCTTTTTCCTATTCACCTCTAAGTTAATTAGATTTTGGATTCTACATTCAAACTGAGTGAAATTAAATTTATTCATATCATGCTTCATTATGGTTTGTTTACAATGAAAGGTTTCAAGAACTTTCTTCCTTTCTCTTCAATACCATTTATTATTTACTATTGGAACACAATTCAAGGAAGTAGGTTATTAAAAAAAATTATAACTTTTGATTCAGGTAATTAATTGAATATGTGAGTAACATTTGATGTTTTCACATGTAACAGGATGATCAAGCTGAAGATAGCCTCCAAAAGGAGTGAACTCCATTGTAATAACAATAATGTGACTAATTTAGAAACTTGAGCACTTGGTAAATACACCTTGGCTTAATTGCAATTCTGATGATTACAGTTTGCTGAGGTAATTGAAATGTCAGTCCTCAATGCAAGAACTTTCCACTTAGAAAAATGCATTTGTGTCGGTATATCTATTGTAAGTATAGTACCACCTAGTGACAAAAATTAATGATTTCCTGTAGGCATGAACATTTGGGAGATGTTATGGTGGTAATTGACCCTTTCTTTTCTGGGATGCATAGGGTGTGATGATTGTAAAGTATATCTTTTAGCTTTCAAAATTTCAACTTAGTATAAATTGTAACTGTTTGCCATATCTATTTCTCTGTCCATTAAGCCCTAAAAGTTGAACCAGGCGAGTTAATAACCTGGCCTCTTTTGTTTGAAATTGTGTGATTAATATATAATTTTGCTGTGCAAGTTGCCACTTTGTAATATGTAATATTATCATTTAGATTGCATTAAATACTCTTGCTTAAGATCCCATTAATGCATTCTGTTTCTTACCAATGCTCATACCTAAACTAAACACTGATATAAGGAATTGGCCACAAGATATGTGAGTTGTAAAGGGTTGGAATCTGGAAAAGCAAGGATCCTCCTCTAATTAGGACTGAAATTAATGGGGGCCCTCCTATTTTGATTCATGTTTTTACTTTGACCTGCCTCCTCCCCTGTGATGTTTAGGGCACATAGCTGAAGAGAACATTTTTTGTTTTTAGTGCATGAAATTCAAATTAATTAGCATCCACATAATGCACAAAGCAAGAATATAAGTGCCCTAGCTTTATAGGTTATAAAAATAAGAGAGTTGTGCAGACCATATCTTTTTTTGCTTTTTAGCTTCCTCTGGATATTTATTCAAGTAACATGGTCACTATCCATTTCATTCACTTTCACTTTCACTGACCTTATGGAAAGATGATAACCTCTGTATTTCTTTGAATGAAGAAAGGAAAGCCTGTCCTCTTACCACAGAAGTTCTTTTGTGCATTATAAGTACAAACCTAGTCTAATTTGTACATGAAGGTGATTGTTCTAGGTAGGCTAACCTTATAAATTAGTTGTGAAAATTTCTTGTACCTGTCGTCATATGAATGTTTGACTCAATTTTATCTCACTAACCTAAACTGAATAAATAGAAACTTTAAATTTATTTGTTATGCTTTTGAGGTGTGCATTAAAATTTCAAAGGCTCAAACACGAGTTGAAATTTACTTATCTCTTTAATTTTCTACACTGAACAGAGGAGGCTGAAATGTTAGGAAAAAATGGTAGGGCAAGCAGTCATACCTGGCAACTTCAAGAGAAGATATCAGAGAAGCCCATACAATTCTGGTATACTGTTTTACTGATTCACTGTTCTCACTCTTCATTCAACCAGTGATGTCTTAACGCAAAGTAGTTTACCATCATATGTTTCCATTTTGGCTTAATTTTCCAAACCAAAATTATACTTAACACTCATTAGAATATAATTTCAACTGATGCTGACATCATACACTTTATCTCAAGAAGAAAACATTCCCTATCTTCGAAAATTTGCTCAAAACATCAGGAACAACAACAAAGGTCCTAAGCTGTTTGAAGATACCACTGACTAGCATGCATGTTGATCCCCTTGCAAGTTGTGAGAACATCCTTCTTGGGTTCCAGGCCTCATCAATTGTTCTCCTCCTCCTCCCCACACCCCCGACTGGTCCCTAAATCCCCTGGAAGAAACTCATCTACAGCCAGTGCTGAAGAGTTTTACTACAGCTTTCATTCTGAATAATGAGGGGCTGGAAAATAAACTGACAAGAGCTCCACTTTTAGGCTTGGCTAAATCTATGTATTATCACTTTGGCGACAGGCTACAAACTCCTGTGATTGCAAGGTTCAAAACCAGAGTGCACATAACCAAATGTAACTACGTAGCAGTACCTCATTGATGAAACCAATAGCATCCACACACTCACTAAGTTTCTTCTGAACTGACTGGACCTCTTTTACATACTGCATCATTGTGTCCATATCACCATACTCTTTAAACTCTTCAACACGCCTGGAATAAAACAAAATTCTTAACAAAAAAGTACTTTCCACCTGAATTAACCTAAATATTTTTGAGAAACAAAAGTTTTTGACCAGGAATTGAGAAATTACAATAGCCAGAATATCTCTCAAAAGATCTTCTCCTTTTACCTTTATTTTATAAGGTGCTGATCATTGATTTTAAATCAGATTTTAGATTCCTCAAAAATCTCTAAGCCAATTGTTATGAATATTTTAGAGAAGATCTGTAACTTTTGTAAGTGGATGCTGTCTATAAATAAGTGCCTGTTGCTGTTTAATGGTCAATGCATAACAGTAATAGTAATAATAATAATAATAATAATAATGATGATGATGATGATGATGATGTAAATAATAGGAATATGAATGCTTTAGAGAATTAATAACTATTTTTACCTAATTGATGACGAAACTTTGCTATCTTTCTCAGTATTACAGGATGCATTTAAAATTGCTGACCTTGAGCACCCATAAGAAAAATTTTTGAAATACCTACATTTTGAATCTTTGCGTCAAGTCAACTTTATTTTATAGTTTACAGTATTACCAGGGTATATACAAATACAATACCTCTTGATTTTATCAAGCTCCAACATAACCCTCTCCCTTTTCTCCATCAAAGCACTTTCATTACTCTTCTGAGCAGCAACCATAATCTACAAAACCACACAGCTATTTCAATTCAAATATTATTAAGTTACTGTAGCATAATTACCAATGAGTGAAATTTCCAAGACAAAGTGAAACATAGGGGTAACATTTGCTGGCAGACCTTTCTGTGGTCAAAGTAATTTGGTTTTATCAACTGAGTTGGTAATGTAAAATGGCCAACGTAAAGAGCTTCAAAGCTGATGTTTCAAGCATTACCCCTGTGTCAGAGCGAAGGGCTAAAGCTTGAAACATTAGCTTTGAAACTATTTATGATGGCAGGTTTACATTATCAGCCCAGTTGATAAAACCAAATTACCTTGTTATACACTCCCACTGATGTAACATCACAGTTTCTTTAGAAGCTTACCCCCTCTTTCAGAGGTCTGTATTGCTACACATGGTGTTTCAAAAAAATTTCAAAAAATACATATATAGTTGTTGATAAACAAACAAAATGGTATTACTACCTCATCATTCTGATCAAAGATAGGCGCAATATTTTTTGGCCAGTTAAGGACTTCCGAGTTGAGGCTCATGTCTTCTTGTGTGAATGTAAAAACATCCAAAAGATAAGACAGTCGATTGAATGACTCCTGCAAAAAAATGGATATAGGTATGACCATTTAATGGAGTATAGTCCCAAACCATTACTGTAACTTCTACATCCTTCATAGAAAATTATTCATTAAAAGTAACATGTACAACTTCCTTTTTAAATGGCTAAAACTTTGTCTTTCAATTCCCTTAGCTTGACCAAAAAACTCAGTGATCTGGCCAAAAATGCAGGACTCCCGGGTGTTCAACCCAAATGGCAGGAAACACTATTAATATAATCAACAACTAACTATTGTTCTGGTTACCAAAAAAACTAATTTAAGAGTGAAATTGCCTGGTTTGTAGTTGCAGTATAGACACTGCAACCCATTGGACAGGGTGAAATTTTAAATCTACAAAAGCAATATCACTGCTAAAGTTGTTGGGTGGCTCCATAAGTTATTTGGTTTTGGGGCCAATTTTTTTCTGAACATCTGTAAAATGGCAAGCAAACAGAACTTCAATTGGAAATAGGTATGACCACAGGAAAGAGTGTCATGTATTGTATCAAAGCTCATTAAAATTTCCCAAGTTACCCAATTCGTGACACCTTCAAGTTAATAAGAGCAATCAATTTCCCTTAGGCATGTGGCAGACAGTAGTGTATTCAACATTATGAAAGAAAAATGGTAGAGGAAGTAACCTTGATGTCACTGTCAAGTTTGACAAGGATCTTTGTCTTAGCTTCCTCAACAAACTTCAGCATGTCAATCATCTCACGAGTGTCCTCAGGTTTTGTAAGAGCTTGTTCTCTTACTGATTCAAATTCTGAGATGATTCTGTAAAACAAAATAAACCCAACACACCATATATTTCTCGTAAATTTCTTTTGACTACCACAATTTTTATAATAATTTGAACTGGATTGCATTTCCTAAGTCCCGTGCTTTGATACCTAAACTTCAAGGAGGATTAACCTCATGAAAATGGATAAGTTCTTTCCTTCAAAACGTTTTGTCCAGACTTTGACAGAGGTTTGAAATAGGAACATTGTAAGCCTTTGTAAATATTCATGCACTGAAAGTTCAAACTTAAGGGGCTAGTGGACTTCCTTCTTTGCAAACAAAAGACAGTTGACATGAAACAAAGGAAATGAAGTAAAAAGAAAACACTACAAACATTTAAAGGTGATTCAGAACAAAACTAAGGCAAGTTCTCATGCTAATCTGGTTGCTACAGTTAGTATTTTTGTGACAGAAAAGTATTTATTCAAAGTGATCGGAATGTCTCATTGTGTGCCAGATAATGTTTTAATAAATTAAGATGATAATACTTGTGGCAGTAACAAACTACCTTCTGTTTTCTGTGCGGTGTTCTTCAGCCAGCATTTGAAGCAGTTGATCTGCAAAACGATTAGCTTTGGTAGCCAGGCCTCTCTTCAAATCATCGCAGTCTAATTGAACCATGTCAAAATGTGCCACAGTTGGAAGTGAACTTATTTCCCGAGCAAGGGAACGAAACTTCTCAATTTCCTGTTATTTAAACAAAGAAAGTGGATTTCAAGCTTCCTGTTATGTCCATGTTTAATTTGAAAATTCATCTTTTCAGCAGAAGACATACCATAATGTCTTGATTAGCATTGCTGTTGCCAATGTGCATTGCTATATAGGGCAAAATTTTGAAGAAACATCCAGAAAAGACAAGCTGTCAATAAGCCAATAAATGCTAATGCATCCCTCATATTATGTTTCTACAAATGCTTGTTGGTTCATTTTGATTTCCTCTTTTCATATTCTGATCATCAGTGTTAGGATTAGAGATGTTTCAATCAGGCATTGGAGAGCTCCATCAAAATACAAGACATTTAGCTGTTCAAACAAACGTGAATAATTGTTTGAGCTAAATCAACAGCAGCCAACTTTTTCATAGCAACAAAAGAATCTATAATGATGCAAATAGGAATGACACTCAATCTCTAGCTTCACTGCAAAGTGATAGCTGTTTGAATTCCCTAATGTAAAAAGAGTGGCAAGAAAACTAAACATCGCTCAAATACAAGAAAAGGCAACTGATATGAGAACCCATATAGCAGATGAACAGTGCCAATAACAATAATTCAAAGAGTACTACTCACATCATGTAAGGTCTCACAACATTTTCCATCTTGAGTGTTTTTGAAGGCTTTGAGGATAATTGGAAAAGGCCTTCCAGGGATATACCAAGGGTTGTTGGGATAAATTTGGGAACACACTCCATGAACGATCACAAAAAGAACCAAAAAAAGACTTGCCTACAGATGATAGTTTAGTTCAACTTCACTGTTTAACATGCAAAGGACAGTTACTGATTACCTGTATGTAATTTTCAAAGGAGTTTTCAGATGAAATGAACTGCTTGACACGAGCTGAGGATTCCCCACTGACCAGAGCACTATACTTATCTGCAAATTCAACACAAGTACATTGTACTTAAGAGCCAAATTAAAGCCTATGGTTTGCCCAAGTATTCCTCTAATACAAATGATTCTTAGCTGTTGTTAATGATGCATAGGTAGTTTTGACATCATTTATTTCATGTTTCAATTGAGTAACGTCATAGGTCATGCAAGGAAGCAAGCATAAAGCACCCCAACACTGAAAAAATTTGGCATCTAAAAAGGTCCCTTAGGTAAGTAAAAGAGTGAGTTTTTTTGCTTTTTCCATCAGATTACTCCTCCACCATTCCACTTCATTTACACCTACATTTCAAGATCACCCAAGACTAGCGACCTTGACACAGAAAAAGGCTTTTGAGATTGATTTAGATGATGCCTTCATGACAACTCTACTGAAGAACAACTTAACAACATGGCTCACCATTTTACTGAGCCCTATTCACCTAAGGCTCCTGTCATCTATAATACTCAATGTGGCAAAAGGAGTCCATAAGTTTAAAGGAATTTCTTACTCAAAGGGAAAAGGCAGAAGAAACAAATTAACCAAGAAAGTGCTTGGGTAAAGAGGTCATAAGTTGAGACAGCACATTTTTATGGATAATACAGTTCTTTGGTCCCCACCTGACTGGAAAAACTTGGATCTTATAAGATTCACCTAAAAGCTTGAATATCTGAGTAAGTTTTTTTTACTGATACTTAAAGGATATCCGTTTCAAGTTTTATGATTTAGCCCAGGCACCATTAGTCAGAAGTAAGCTTTTGAATCCAGTTTATGCCACTCCTAGCTACAAACCACATGATGGGGGAAGCTACTTAGATAACATATTATTACTCGCAGAGACATCACATCTGTTATCTTTATTGTGCCCAATCCCCCTGCCAAGGTGGTACAAACATTTCGTTATACTTAACTCACTTTAATAAAGATGACTTTGCTCGTTACTTACCAAAGGAATGCAGGTACTCTATAGGTTGCTGTAAGTTAAAGTTCACAGCATCCTTTAGGAACTTAGTGCACCTCAACAGAACATCATTATCAACAGCAGCATCCACATGAGTTACTGTGTTTCCCCCTGCCAACCAGGACTGCACAACAGATTGAAAGTGCGGTCATTAGAATTATTACAACTTTGACTAAAGTGAAACTGTTTAAATAAATTAAATGATGAATTAATCAACAGTCAATTTTCGTCATAAATAATTCAAATAAAGAATATCAAACAAGCCTATTTCTTGACAAGCCTTAAATAATTATGTACCTTAAGGTACCAAAAACCACTTTGCTATGGTAACCATATGCACTACCTGAACTTCTTCACAATAAGTGAGTGAGTGACCTATGTTGCATACAAAGTAATAAAGATAACTGGGTATTTCTCCAACAAGTTAGACAGGACACATTCTCTACTCATGGTTATAATACTGTAACTGTAACTCAGTCATCTACACTTCATCCTTAAGCTACCCTCACTGACCATTCCCTTTAATGTGCTGCACCAGAATGTGTCACCAAAGAACATAAGAAGCACCAACACTGGTCTAATCGTTTCAAGTAAATTCTAATTTTCCTTTGTAGTGTTTTCACAATAGTCTGTGTGAAAGTCGATCCCATCCACAAATTCCTTTTCAGTCAGCTAAATAAATGAAAAATCGCACATCTTTAAGCCAGCGTGAGCCAGCTGTTAAAGTATTTAGAAAAAGGATCCAAAAAAAAAAAAGCATTTCATCATCACCAATTCTCCCTCCAAGATAGCAGTTTACATAATTGTTCCTGTGTTTTTTTTTTTGTTTGTTTGTTTGTTTGTTTTTTCTGGAAAAGAAAGCATAAGCAAACTACAATTCATCAGGAATTTCTTTAAAGATTTACCTGTACTGTGGGAACATGTTGCATGGTTCCAGCAACTGTGGATATAACATGTAATACTGCTGCCTCCACATCACCAAGTGCAGGATAGAATTGCATGTGGTCATCATCATCCAAGATCAATTCCATCTTGAAAAGTGGAAGGCAACTTTTGTCTTTGTGAAACAGATCTGTCCATGCAGTTATGGTTCTGTTTATCAGATCCTTCAACTACGAAAATCATGCACAATTTGTTTGAAAATAAAATCTAGTTTTCTCTAAATTCATATGAAAAAGATAGATCAAAGTTTGAAGTATATAATGATACCCTCTCCAATACCTGGTTAGAAATAAGTGTAGAGACACAGTTGTAAAAGGCATCAACTTGTGAAGAGCTCATGTGCTTCAGCATATCTTTGTCAATAAAAACATTCACCACTTCTGGGAACCAACTGATTGCAAAGAAAAAAATTCATATATTACAGCAAAAAATTGGTCAATGTCCAAAGTCATATCAGCAGCTGTTAGAAAGAACGCAAAATGACAATTCTCCTACACTCCTACAGAGGTAATTAAACCTGTATCTGTTCTATGGTGAGAACTGAATAGTCTATACCCACTCCTTAAACTTAAGTTTGCCTTTGTCAAACCTCATTAACAAAGTATCCTTAGCTTGGATTTTGTATTTATATGAATCAGACATCAAGAGCTTGAGAGGCATGATCTCCACTCTTAAATATATAACACATGTAAATATTAACGCTTTGTTATTTCATCTCAAATAGGATAGAAAATGAGCACGAGAGATCTGAAAAAATCAAAACTTGAATCAATTTTCAAGATCTTAGAAAGTTCTACTAACTTCTTAGAAAGTTCTACTAAAGTTCTACTCTACCTGTGCATAAGCTTTTCTTCAGTCTTCTCGCAATCAAGTGTTACATTATTTTTAAGGTGCTCACATTCAATAGAGCCTTGAGTTCTGCAAAGAAAAAGACATCCTCCATACAGCCTTGTAAGGTGATACAAAGTTCAGTTAGCTAACGAGCCAAAAGGCAAATATTACCAGGACTTAACCTGGTGTCAGCAGCATGATGCAACTAAGAGAATTGAACACCCCCCCCCCTCATTGGACAAAATGTATGCCATTACAACAACACTGCCCCTACTCCATTTCCTCAGTTTTGCTAGTTAGTATGCCAACACCCCATCATAATCCTGCCTGTAGAGAGGCTCTGTGTGTGTATGTAATGTCTAAGGTAATGGAACAATACAATGGCCTTGCCAAGGCTCCATCTTAAATCTTTCAATTGGCCATCTTCAGCACACTCTTTATCTATACAATTTGAAAATACCAATTGAAACAAGGCACCTCTACCGTAAGGAACTATAAAAATGTGCACAACACAAGGCTGAAGGATGGCCTAGGTGATGAAAATCTACAGAAAGTATGTTCAACTCTTCATAACAGGTGGATATCGATGCACATAAAACAAATAATATGACTAACCTCAGATTGGACTGATCAGTTATCAACATGGTTGAGTAATTCTTGCTTTGACAGATTCCCAGAATTGTCTGCATTGATGGGTGCAATATGTGCAGATTTTGCCGAATTGATTCTCGTGCAGCATTAAAGCTCTCTCTCCATGGACTGGAATAGTCAATTCCACTGGGTCAAAAAACAGAACAATTTATTCTTGAAAACAGCCATATATGTGAGAACATATCAGTTCTAGAGAAAGTTCTTCAGTTTAAGGTTACATGGTACCATCCTTGTAATGATAGATTATAATGACATAATGATAATTGCTTATCCAAGTAAGTTATGTAAACCATACGTCTAAGTTAAGAAGTACAGGGATTCAGGAATGGTACAAGTGTGAGAGCCCAGGCCTCACCTCTCAAGGCTGTGGCCCCAGTTTACTTTCCTGACTGGGTATCACAGTTCAGTTGAGTTTCATGTTTGTTCTCACCCTCGCATAATTGTTGCTTATCATTATTTCAATTCTAATAAGTGATACACATGACAAAAATTCTTGATTTTGATTGCCCAAGAGAAATGCAGCTTTAAGGAAATATAGTGCATAAATAGGGTAACTCAGGGCAAAAGTAGGAGCTAAAGAGCATTCTTATTGGTTTATAAACAAATGTACTCACAAAGAGCCAATCCAAAGAGCCACATATTACACCTATTTATGCCTTATCAGAAAAAGGGCAGCTAATTGTTAAGCATATAAAAGGACCTCTTTTGGCAGCAATTAGATCACCCCTGACGAAAGCACATGACAGAAGTCTCGAAATGTTGGGTCTACGAATTTTAACTTCTCAGTTACATTCACTAAATCTTTAAACCAGAGTAGCATCATACTATGTTAGACTAATCAATATTGGTTTGGGACTGGTACCTAGCTCCAGGAACTTCTGATTGTGTGGAGGAGAACAGAATACAATGTGGCAGTTTTGTATTACTTTATATCACTTTACATTACATTGTCGAATTACTTTGTGTAACAAATACTACATTGGCGACAAGGATACACAAAGATTTTAGGGGTATAGTCTTCATGAGAGAAAGAACTCTTACTCTGCTGGATCTATCAGAATCTTCTTCACAGGTGGCAACCAAATGGCGAAAGTGGAAGCACACAGTTAAGTATTGTGCTGAAGGGAAAGGCATAAATAGCTCAAGAAAGAAAACTTCGCTGCTCTTGCATCTCGCAGGAATGGAGGTACAAGATATTTTTGAAGATATTGTCGACCCAGAACCAGAGGGAAATCAAGACCCATACACAGTGTGTATTAGGAAGCTTGATTATCATTTTCAGTGCAAAGAAAATGTTCCCTTTGAGTGCTACGTGTTTTGACTAATTGGCACTAAGACTGATGGTGAACCAGTTGACTAGTTTGTCATTTGCCATTATCAACAGGATAGGCATTGTAACTTTGGTGATTCTCTTGACAATTTACGAAATCAGTTAATTGAAAAATTGACGGATCTGAAGTTATTGGAAACTAAAAAGTTCACTTTGGCACAAGTCTTGGGGAAGGTGAGAGCTTTGGAAGTGGCAGGCCAGCAGGTAAAGCACATGGCCAGTGGATCAGATGTTAAAGCAGCATAGAAAAAGGAAGAAAAAAGCCTAAAGATCAGTTGAGGAAGACATGCTTTAATTGTGGAAAGGCAGGACATTTTGCCAGCATTCACTACTGTCCAGCAAAAGGGAGAAAATGTGAAAAGTGCTTGAGGTATGGCCATTTTGCTTCTTGCTACAAAAGTCATGACGGTATTGTAACTGAGACAGGGATAGAGGCCAATTCAAAGAAAGCAAGTGACAACAAAAGCATTCAGAAAGACAGACAAATCATGCTGAAGATCCTCTGGAGGGCAACAGTTGTGGTAAGGAAAACCCTGCCTTTGCTTTCGTGGTGACTGAAAATAACGAAGAATATATTTGTGGGGTGTCATCCTCAAGTGACCCTATGATGAATGTGAGTATTAATGGTATTGCTCAGGAAGTTTTGACTGATTCTGGATCTGTAAGTAATCTGATTGGGGAAGAAGATTTAAAGAGGTTGAAGATTGCAGGAACAGTTGACAACAAAGGTTTGGTAGCCCAGCATAGACAAAGATGCAGAGAGGAAATGCAGGGACAAACAAGTCAACAAATCACATGACAACAGATGTCAGCCTGGCTGAGCTATTTTTTAAGAGGAAGTTAACTACCAAGCCACTTTAGTTTGTTGAAGCTGGAGGTCAGAGTGATGTCCTATTGCAACAAGGGATCACGATGCAGCGAAGAAACAGTAAGCAAAGTAGTATGCTGATGCAAGAACTTGTGCTAAAGACAGACATATTGCTGTTAGAGATTTGGTTCTGCTCGGAAGAAGAAGAGAGAATAGATTGTCTCCAGCATATGAGCCTTGTGTGGTTTGTGGGCACAATGGAGACCAGGTAGTAATGAAGTCACCCAAGGGAGTTGAGTACAAGAGGAAGTTTTAGAACATCAAAATTCTTCTGACTGAGTCAGCACCGGATATGAAGTATGATGCAGAGCATTCATAACTATAACACTTGGTACAGAGCCAAATTTGAAAGTGCCTGACTAGTCCTGCCCCGGAATGACTTGCACAGGAGACAGTTACATGTGCATATGTGATTATGTACTGTCTTGAACACTTAAGAAACTGTTTAATAGTTGAACTTTGGCCTTATGCCCACTGAGCCACAATTGTTCATAGAGTGCAAAACGTTTAGTTAGTGGAGTTAAAGTCCAGGCACATGTTTAGGTACACCAGGGTTGCCATTTATTTTTTTTTGGACCTTTTAGTAGTTTACTTGTTTCCTTTTTTTGGAAAAAGAAAGAGATTGTGGTACTGGTATCTAGATCCAGGACCTGATTGTTTGGAAGAGAGCAGAATTCAATATAGTGGTTTGATATTGACTTTATGTCCATAACTTTGTGCAACAAACACTTCAATTCGGCTTACATCTACCATCTTATAATTGTGACACGCTCTTGTCTGACTGTCTTGTGCCCCATGGAAGTTTCATTTAAATAAATAAATCAGTAAATAAATTGAAGAAAAATCAATACTACCAATAAAAAAATTAAATCATCTTTATCAAGGAATATATCTTGAATTTAATGGATGAAATTAAGTGTTTTATTACACCCATTTTGAAATTGCTAGTGGTCCCAGTAATCTGATTGGCTCTAATTGGTGCAATTTATTCATGAATCACACCACTTTTTGCTTTAAATTCTATCTTTTTCCCAGCCAACGAGGAGACTACACTAAAACAGAACAACCAATCAGATTTCAAGGCTAGTTTAAAGTAACCAATAAAATTGAAGGAAAATGAAAGACAAAGAGTATCATGTGACAAATTTTGGAACTTTTGTTTCCAAACTCTTATTTTTCCCTCCAAAAAATGGATGAATTTAATTTCAAACTGACCAAGTCCTGTATTTGGACAATTTCAAAATGGATGTAATAAAGTGGTAATTGAAACTTGCGTCATGCAATTTTGGTCTGAAAGCATACTTGTGAATTCAAATCAAACTCTTGCTGTGCACTCATTCAATTATGAAATCACGCATATGATTTCAACCAAATTTCACTCCACTCAGTTCAATTACCATTATAAACATGCATCAAAATCTATACCTGTATAAGCAACTGTATTGATGCAAAAGAAACCAATAAGGAGACAGACCCTAACAGACCTCTTTCATAATGATGGATGTGATGCACATCAAGACCTTTTAAGCCTCGCTTTTAAGTGAAAACACTATAGTTTTTAACAGTGTTTTTGAGGCTGGACAAGTTAATTTTCATGAATATATATAATACCAATTTAACTTGCCATTTATGAAAGAGGTCTTTTAGTAACTTTCTCTCTATAAAAGAAAGGGACCCTGTAAACTTACAGGACTTCATCTGGTAAATCTTCATCACCTTCAACTCCTTTTACCTTTGGTTTAACAAGGATATGTTGAACTACAGGAAGGAAAAGGCAAGTTAGTATCTCGCTCCAATTAAAGGATAAGTACATCCTGTTCCAAAAAGTCATATGAATTAATCAATACTATAGCACTCAAAAGAACATAAGTTAAGACAACACTGGCTTCGGTGTTTTTGGGATTTTTAATAGAAACAAAACCATTTGAGAGTTGTCTTCAAATGTGCGAAAAAGTCAACAACAGACTTCACAATTGTGCATCTTGTTCAGCAATTTGGCAAAGTCTACCATTATGAGAACTGACCACCACTAGCAGTTGTTGGTCAAATATGAAAATGAAGTGTTGGTGTATGATTTCTTTTTCCAAGAACTGGTTTACTGATTGTCTATGACTTAATTTGTCAGCACTGAGTTACATCACATCGAGACAACCATGCTGTCTGCCATTTTAGATAGAAAGCAACTTTTACATTCTACCTGACTGCTGAAGGATAAATTGAAATGAGTCATGTGGATAGGGATATATCCATTGGATAGCATTTTCATTATCTTACTTGAACAACAAAGCCCAGGAGTTTAAAATATGTTTCAATACAGCTCAGGTTTAATTTTGGTCTGCATTATTGGTGCAATAGTTTCCAGTGAGGCCTAACCCTGGCATCAGGTTGACCACGGTACCATGGTTTTTCAGTGTCAAACGTGGTTGACAATGATGTTGACCATGGTGTCTAACTGTGATCACATTTAGTTACTGACCATGGCTCACAGTCAACCATGGTCACACCAAAAACATTCACCTCCAAAACTATCTGACTGTATAATGTAAAGGCTGATAAATAATGTAAAAATTAAAAACCAAATTCATAACAAGTCCTTGAGCTTCTATCAATCCATGACATCATCAGAAATAAAAAATATTTGGTCATGCAGCTATATTTAAGCTGGTGAGGTGTGCTGTAGTGGAAGACAATACTAGTAAGCACCAGGTAGATGAAGAAAGGTGACATAATAGAGAGTGTGAGTATATGTAGGGTCCTCTAAGAAATAAATTTCATGTACATGTCAGATAAAAATTTTAAATGATAGAATTATAATGGTCAGGAATAAATACCTTATGGAAATAAAATAACATACAGGTTGAACAGAAATAGAAGGTAAGTGAGTTAATTGCATTCTTCCAGGGATTGCAATAACACAAAGCTAAATGGAATAAGATACATTCTTCCAAAGGATGCCATTGAGTTATGATGATATTAAAATGGATCGTCTGAGTCCACTGTATTTTTGGTAATGCAATCAAATAACGTTATGAAAATAGAAGTTCTGTGAGTTTACTGAATTCTTCTTGAGAGTCAAGAGTAAGTTTGTGCTTTCAAATGTATAATACTTTGAACAGTGACTGTTGTAGGTTGCCAAGATCTTTTTTAGTGCATATAATTAGAATATCTTGACTTCAATGCTTTTATTAACTCCCTTTTGGCATACATGGATTTGTTTTTTTCAGAGGGGAATTGTCATTGATGAGGTGTTCTATTATGTGATCATGAAAGAATCATGTAATGCTCCTAATGTAACATTGTTTATATTGGTTGCATGTGATTTGAAACACTATATTTCTTCAGAGGCATAAGTTGATGCCAGAGATGGGGCAGTTGGCTCTAGTACATAAGCACTCTGTGGAGCAGCTGGAGAAAGCTTGATATGGTATGTAAGGTGTGGATCAGCAAAAGCTCAGAGACTTCCTTTTGATTCATTTTTAACATTTACTTAAGTTTAGACCATGCTACTACATCTGTTACATTTTCTACTGGAGGACAAAAAGAAAAATTTATTCTACATAATTATTATAATACTTTTTAACAGTAAGATGACAACCACAACCAGTTATATCTACGTACCCATTGCCTTTCTGATACTGGTGTCATACTCAGCAATGATTTCATCGTATAACTCCTTGATGTGTGGCTGCAGTTGTGGAGATAAGACCAATTTTGCTGGAATCATAGTTAAGATGGTATCCCACCACTCATTAGCCATTGGTGTCACAGGGCCTTCCTGAACACACTTCTTCATGAATTGGTAGTTTAGCTACAACAGAAAATCAGTCTTAGAACTTGAAAAATCCTAACTTTTCATTTGCTACAATGTATTCTATTGAACAAATTATCCTAGGTTCTCAGATTACATGTTTTTAAGGTTTTGTGTATTTGTCTCTCTCACTCCACGGATAAGAAAACCTGGTATTTTCATACCACTAAACAAAAACTTAAGCTGTTAGTGCTTGTAATTTACAGGTCTATAATTAGTAGATTTGTAGGAATGTAACTCGTATATATTTGCTTTCATATTTGAGTCATAACTCCCCATCTCGACTAGCAGCAAGTCTGTAAGCCTGCAAGCTTAATTGGGGATGTATGTTAAGCTATACTAGTATTGTTAGTCATTGTTTCCCAGCAAGGCATTGAGGTTCTTGGTTAAAGAGCACAAGATGTACTACCTCCTTGATATCTGCACTAGCTTACATTAAAAACTTACTACACTTACTCGTATTCGCCGTTCAGTGCTCATCATCTACAACAGAAACAATACATGACAGTTGATATGAGTACACTCATTTTTTAAATACATACCACCTTTGGTGCACCTTCTGGTCAGGTTAGGACTCACCAAGGCAAAGGTGATAAATGCCATTTTTGGAGGTCAGAAATCAGATTTCTTACTCAGACTTGGCTGCTATAAGACCTTGAACACCTTTCTAAACATTCTAATATTTTCATTCAACATCTCATCTGGCACCCAAAACATGAGATGGTTCTGAAATCAATCAATTGCTCATGAAGCAAAATGTTGAATGAAAATATCTCATCTAGAACAAACATGGGTACCAGCCAGTAAATATTTTTTTTGGGTTTGTGATGAAAATAATATATATATTCCATGAATAAAGTTTGATGGACAAAATTGCGCCTTTTAGGCCTTTTGAATTTCAAACTACCTAAATTAATTGCTTGCTTGATTTCAGCAAGCTTCCTTGTTCTTCGATCCCCTTACACCATGCAAATACAATGTAGGTCAAACATTTTTCTTAAAGGGCAATACATGCAATGAACATAAACATACTTGAGAAGGCATTTCAGGTTCCCCAGCCGATATGGGTCTTCTCTTCAGACTTTCCTCCGTATCTTCTTTGCCTTTTAAGGCTATTTCATACCTAATAAATAAAAGCAAACATGAGGAGCTCAAAGATAAATTTCTGCCGAACAATCTCAGTGGATAAAACACACTGCATACAAATATGATTTTAAGTAATAATACCCTTCCCCAGTAAAATGGAAAGGGTTTGCCATGATGATTGGACAAAATAAAATGAGCATTTCTGTAAGAGAGACCTAGGTTAAACAGACCTACACTTAAGATTAGGTTTTCTACTTACTAAATGTTTATGCTGGTAATTAAGGATTATTGGATTACCCTTGCCCTTAAAATGTTAGATGCAAAAGATAAAATATACATGTGGCCTATCATTCACTTTGGTCTTCAGAGTTTATCAAGAACATGTCTTGCGTCTTTGGTATAATCACTGAGCCAGCTTATACCTTGACATCAATGTTGACTAGAAAATCAGTTCCATACACAGGTTTTCCTGCGACAAAGCCATCCTCAGATTTTCTTTCATCGTTTAAAAATTACTGACTTGTGTTCAATATCACTTACAATTTATTTGTCAAGAGCCCTTGCATGTTTTCACTCCTTCTGTGTGTTCTTAGATGACTTTTGTCAAACCTTGAGCTGGGTGAAGTTGGAGCTGCAATTGGTGGAAGGCGAGGAAGCTTACCCTCTGAGCTTGAGCGGTGAGATTGCTCGTTTCTCATGGACATCTGAGATGGCAAGAACAAATCATATGATGGATGAATTAAGAAAAAAATCATACCAGAGTCAAAAAACGTGAAAGGAATGTGCGTGGTAAGATACTCAGATAAGGCCATAGGAAGTGTTTTGTAAACAAAAAGTTACAATACTAGAGGATGATATTAATGACAGTGGAATAATATATCACCCCTGAATCCGTCGGATTTTTGTCAACCAATATCTATCGCGAACTTCTGTTTATTTGGTGTAACCAACGTTTACTTGAAAAGTGTTACGCATTTCCTTGCCAAAAAACCTTTCACAAAAGCGCGCCAAAAAAATTGTTTGCATCCTCTCGGAGGGCGAATATTTCGTATATTCCCCCAGTATTTCTATATTTCTCGAAGTTGAGTTCAGGATATCTGATAACCCGACTAGAGTGTGCCCTGGATTGCGCAGGATCCTTCAATGATCCTTCACGGTTATGCAAGTTTCAGCTGAGTAACCAGATGAAGAGCTTTCATAAATCGCGCGTACCTGCTATTAAATGAAGCGATATCACATTTTTTGCCTACGTTTATCTGCAGATCGTGTTTACAGTTCAAGCGTCTTATCTAACAAACATTTTCAACAAATTTGAGCTGATCTTAGGTTGCACCAGACGATTGTAACTCTTTTCATGCGACAGTCCCCATTGTTCTTGTAGATTGCTAGAGCTTTGTTTACCGTGATCGTTTCCAACTTGAACCGAAACGAAGGAAAATCTTAGTCTAATACAACCCTCTTTGAAAGAAAAACCGTACCTCGTATCACTCCTTTGGATGAAATTCCTCTTTGAAGCTTGGTTTCACATGATGAAGCTGAAATGCAGAAACGCTTTCTACAAACTTTCCTAAAAACTTTCCTAGCTTCTCACGTAAACTATGGCTACCATGGGAAATCCGGTCTGTTGCTATGGTAATGGTCTCACTCTACCCAGGGCCCTTTAAAAACGTGACAACCTCGAGCAACTCCAACTCCAACTTCAAAGTCTGATATTCTCTTAAGATTTTCAGGAGATTTTCCTGAGCTTCTAAACGCAATTTTGCGTAGCGTTATTGAAAGAACATTTTTCCTTATTTGGCCGGTTGGCCTCCTGGATCACAAGAGAATACGGTGAAAAATGAGCGTGATGATGGAATAGCGGGCTGGGCCGCTAAGTACATTGTCCACTGACAACCAATTTTTGAGGGGGAAACGAGAGACTTTGTCATGACGGTTACCCTTGTGGGAACAGGACTGTCAGCCGGTAAATAGTTAGGATCCTTTTTTCAGTGCTAGGTAAAAGCTGGGCGAGGGAGAATGTCTGGGAACTGTGTTGTCAGTCTTTAACTGCATTTTGAGCCACTAGGACTTGTACCTGAACTGTCAAAACAAAAACGCAGAGGGCCCTTTTCCTATAACGCCGGCTTCAGAGAGTGTGCATCTCGGGTACATTATTTAAATTCTAGGAGAGTGGAGTCGATCTGAGCGCTGTGTCTCACTCTTTTCTGACGTTGGTGCAGAGACGTTGGTGGGTGGATATCCGATTGCTTTACCACAGTACAGGGTTATCAGCAAAGGGAAGCACGAATAAATCTAAAATGTAAAAAGTTTATATTAACTATAACTATCCTGGAAGGCTTTCATTTTTTTTGCATGTATAATTGGTATCCAAACACACAGCGCCCTCATTTCGCTCGACCATCTTGACGTTTTAAGAGTATCCAATTTGTATCTTTCATTAATTGCTTTAAGATTCATGCATCTTTGGCACAAAAGCCCTCTTCCAGATTTGGAAATAACTTTTAAACTATCTTTCTGGTTTTTGAGCAAAAGCTAGAGTGGATTAAGCCCAAAAAGTGCAGAAAACCTCAAGCCTGGATGTTAAGACGAAGGAAAGAGAAGAACAAGAACCAGAAACCGCCTGTCAGCTAGAAGTATTTTCTCGATAAAAACACAAGATAAAAGCTAATGAATGGTACTATTGGATCCTATAGAGTTTACATCAATTGAGAGATTCCTTTAATACTTCCTTGAAATGAGTACACGAATCTAAGAACATGAGAAGGTTGCAGGTATTCAATCTAAGGTTGAAAAATCAGAGTTTAAGTGACCTTCGTAAGGTAACCGATAGTCTTTTGAGGTAAGACTCCGAGCCGTTATCCAAAGGTAGTACTTCTGACTTAAAAAGTTTTGGAAAAACCAACCGATGAATGAAATCAAAGCAAATAAAATACATTATCTGATGCTCTATTGTTCAGCATCGCCGACACACACAAGAACAACAACAACAAAAAAACACAAACAAACGAGGAAAACAAAAAATGAACAATAACAAAAAAAACAAACAAAAAAAAGGCAATTAAGGTGTGTGCTTTTTATTATTTTAAGATGGTTTGTGTTTGAAGGATTGATGAACATCATTCTCGTTCAGTCTCTTCTCTTCTTTACCCACAAGGATCGAAGGTACTTCCAGGGTTCGATCAATGGTATTATCAGACTTTAGCATGTCGCCAAAGGCTTTTATGTAGCTGAGGGCGTAAGTGTTACTGGATGATCTGCAAGAGAAAATCGGACATCTCTATGAGACATCTCATCGAAACATTTTATAAATGAGTAGAGACTTAAGAGTAAAATATGTGAATTAATGGAAGACACACACATGCACAAAAACTTTGCAAAGACTGGACTGGAACTTCGCATTTTCTTCGCATTTTCTTCGCATTTTCTTTCAAAGAGTCTTTTCTTTTTTTTCCTTTGTTTTGCATTTCTATTCACCGGACAAGGTAAAAAAACGCTATAAATTTAAAATTCAATTAAGATTGAAAATGCGTTTTTTGTGCTTGATGTTAAATTTTAACGTTAATTCTACGTCAATGGTAGGACCAGGAGGCAGCCCAGAGGTTGGCCTAATAAAGGGTTGGTTGCTATCGGTGATACTCTTGTTAAACTGGTCTTAAAACCCCAACTAAGTGTTAAAAGAAAGAATAAAAGAACAACAGAAGATTACGACTGTCTCTATATCCCAACTATCAAAGCGATTCAGTACGCTAAAAATGTTATGAACAACGAATGTGAACAAATTATAATTTTTCCTAAAACTACAAAGTGATAGAGCAAGCATCACGGTTAACTCATAAGTATGTGAATAAAGAAAAGAAAAGCCTTTGCAATTCTCGGGACTAGGCAAAACAACAGAATTAGTCAAAGTTGTTAAGTAGGAGAGCTTAAGATACTTACATCCTGTTAAGGTCTTGTTGTTGTCTCACGAGACTCTTTTGTAGGCTGCGCAACAAAACAGATTGTCCACTAGCCTGTGATTTCAGTTGTTGCCCGTGTACAGTTAACATATAATGACACCATAAAAGATAGAAGTGAAGGTGGCGCGACTCCTCCAATTGCAAAACAATAAACTGCATCAGTCGTTCGATAAAGGGCTCCTTTAGGGAATGTGTTACCAGTGGAACTATATGTTGAACAAAGATAAACGAAGTTAGGAGATGAATTTTGTTCGTTTGTCTCACGATAGTCACTTATGATGTAGATCGCGACGTTTCGACTGCAATACAGCCTGATGAAGAATAGCTGTATTGCGGTTGAAACGTCGCGATCTACATCATAAGTGACTCTATCGTGAGACAAACGAACAAAGTTCATCTCCTATCTTACACCACGATGAACAATAAGCACATATTTTATTAAAATAAACAAAGTTGTCATCAACACGTTCCTACTAGTAATACTAAAGAACTCACAGGGTGCAACTAACGTTAAGAAACCACAAAGTAAATCTTAACAAACTTTCTTGTCTTGAGAATTTCTAATCAATGCTATCTAGTTATTCTTTTTTCATCAACCTTATGGGGGATAAGAATGACACCATATTGAAATCATTAAAACTTACTGTCACAAGGTTCAACTGCCTCCATAACTTGACAAATGAGTTCTGATTCATTCAGTCTCAGGCTCAATATTAAGGCCTTTGTATGTTCTTTGTTACTACTAGCTTGACAGATCCTCTCGGAGGTGACATTGCATTCGAGTTGAAATGGATCAAACACATCATGAGATTCTAGAGAATATACCACTAGCCCTTCAGAACTAGCTGCAGCCCACGACTGGCCTACATTGCAAACAGAGAAAATATGGTGGAAGCATAAAATTCAGTAAGTCTTGATAAACAAATCAACGGTTATGATAAGTTGGGCCGTAAAACAGGTGCATTTGGGAAAGAAGGTGTGAAGTGACGTTGTGAGAGAGCAAAGTTAAGTTTGTGGTACAGCAAGAATGGAGACTACAGTTTGGTAATTTGGTAGAAATAAAAGGGTGTTTTCAACACATTTGTGTTGCTGACAGACTACAAATATTTTTTGGCCACTTGCTGTTCAAGTGAAACAAAATTTTGCCAAGTTTATAGATGTCAAGGTTTGGATTTTTCTTCAAAGCATTACCTAAATATAATTAAAACTCGTTAATATGATCATCCTATTCATATCACATCGTCACAATGGTGGTCATATTGATGTGATTTTTATAATCATTTGTTTATTTCAAAAGGCTGACTGATAAGGTAACTACGTTACTTTTCTTCCCCTGCATCCCACAGTGATTGCCCTGTCCAGGCTCACACAAAGCAATTTTGTTACTGCTCGATGCATGCCTTTGGTATTATTCTTGCTGACAATGTTCGGCATGGTATCTAACGGTGTCTTTTTTCTGCCACATTAGTAGGTTTACATTTTGGAGTTGAGTATTTGGTACCATTCAGCTCTGCTTTTTAGTCTACGGAATGTAACTCTAAAATAAATACTGATCAACATGCAGTCATGTTAACTCTGCACAATGACTTAAATTCTCGCTGACAGGTTATGCAAATCAGATTACAAACACGATTCCTACGTAAAAGGCATACCAAAAAACAACATGTGCAGGTACAGTACCTGTGGGTGAAAACTGCAGTGAGTTCACTCTGACCTCTGGCTGAAACCTGCGAGAGCTCATATCACCTGAAAATAAGACAGAAACTTTATTGAAAACTCTTCAACAAGTATGTAGCGTGAAACACCAAGTTCTTGATGTAAATTCCGAGGCCTTACTGCTGAGGCGTTGCTCCAGCAGAACATTAATTAGAAAAGAAAAGTCACAATTATTTACCATCGTTTCAGGTATGTATTAGGAAGCTATGTCCTTGAAATAGCGTTTACAATACCATATTTTTGCATTCAAATAACACAGATTATACGTAGTGTGTAGATAAGTGTGTTGGTGGGTGTGTTAAATTGTGCAACAAAATGCAATGTGGTTAGTCGCGCTTTGTTTTTCTCCTGAAGTGTTGTTTTCCTGTTAGTGAAATCAACCTCTGTGAGGATTCTTTCAACTAGGTCATAGGTCACCCTTTCGGGTGATTGCAACTTGGAGTGTCTGATGTTCTCTTCGAAGCTTGTTTTTGACATTGAGCTTTCTCCCTTGTAAAAGGCCTCGTAAAATCCGCGTATGGTTTCTATTCCTTCCTCCTTCAGAGTATATTCGTGTACAGGCTGGTTAGATCCATAGATGCTGAAATTGCACTTTGTGGGGCCTAAGTCCTTTCTATGAATTGATTAGGCTTGTCTGTCAGTGTATCTTTGAGATACGATTTCTGTGTTTTGGTTATCGGTTGAAGATTGTAGTACAAAAGATAATACTTCTTTCGCCTGGTTGACATAATAAGAGTTTTTGTTTATAGTTCCTATTCCCGAGGCCCTACCCCTCAATCCTTAGCTTTTCAGCGATACAGGGCTAGAACTCAAAACACCATCTTTTCAAACTTTGCTACGGTTGTTCATCACTATTAACTTTTGATCGACAGTAAACTTTGAGAGCTACGACTCAATAACGTTAGAAGAAAGTTAATTGTAGGCCCGTATGTTCATTTAAAAA